TGTCAATAAATCTCAATTCACATGGAACGTTTGTTTTCTTTACAATGACTTGCTTAAATTGAGAAGAAGAACCCAGCATTGATTTTATTTTCCATTTTGCAGTGTTTAAATCACGAAGAATTAAATTTAAATCAAACTTTCCCGAATTAAAACCTATGATATTCACTTTATTGAATTCCTCATCTAGAAGTTCTTTAAATGCTTCCTTCTGTTTTTCATTTAATGTATGAGACAAAGTCCCCGCCGTTTGGTCTGAAAGACCTTCAGGACTCAAAGAGTCCGTTTGCGACTTCATTAATTCTTCATATTGTTCAATATTTGATTTAGCAACTAATGAACAGGTTGAAAATAAAAACTCAATCCAATCAGAAATAAAAGAATCACTCGAAGTTAAGCAAAAATTCCTCGTATATGTTTTATCATTTAATTTAACCGTTGATGATACCATGAATGGTTTTAAGTAAGCGTTCAAAGTTGCACACTCAGAAAGTTGTAATTCTTCTTTAGTCTCTAATGTTTCGAAGTCAAAAGTAATATAATATCTTGTCGGTTTATAATATTTCTGCAAATTATGAGCTAATAACCACTGATATATCTTCTGTTTCGTAATATGTGGTGCATATGGTTGCTGTGTCTTTTGCAACTGAACGTCTTGAATTAATCTTCCATTATTTTCTTTACATTTCTCACAATGCTTTAAAAATCTTCTTTGGTTTTTCCTTTCTGGATCATCACGGATAGAATAAACTTCTTCTTTACAACATGGACAAACTTTATAGCCGGTGAGTGCTTCAACGTCTGTTATTCTGTCAGCGTGAAGTTTTCCACATGGACTCTGTGTTAATAAAATATTTACTGTTTCAAATTCTGGATCTATCATTATTGATTCCACTAATGGAAAGTCTACCTTATTTATGTCCACGTCTTCTGGTTGAGGATCACAATAATAGAAATCAATATTAACATTTAACATTCTCGCTAATCTCTCACTTTCTGATGAAATGTCAAACCCTTCATATGCATCTATTGCTTCATTTAAATAGCTTCTACGAGTTTTAGGATTAACACCATCAGGAATGTTATAGAAGCGTTTAAATAACCTTCTACCTTCTGCTCTAATTTGATTATCATTCATTTTAGCTGTTCCGTTTTTGTTCATTTATGTAAGAATAAAAAAATTAAAAAATAAAATTTATTCTTTAAAGCCCATAAAATGAATTAAGAACACATAAATTTTTATCATCTGCGACGTGACGAATACATTTTAATTTACTCAAGAATGCGTACCCTGATACATTAAATCTAATTCCTGTCTTATTTAATTTCACAACTTTGAAAAGGAATGTATGAATAGCTATAAAATGATGAGAAGATGTTTTATGGGTTGCTTCCATTTTTTCTGAAATAAATGAATAAATATAATGTTTATAAGTTTTCATATCTTTTATGTTCTTAATAACGAATGGTATAGACCTTTCCACTTCATCTTCCTTCGGTGCTGTTCTTTCATATGAAACATTATTGGTATCTTCAATAATGAAACCACAATCACATAAAATTTTATATGTTCCAATGGTTTCTTTTGATATTTTATCTAATAAATCAAAAACTTTATCAACACCGTGCATTTATTTAAATAATAATTTGTGTAAATATCATGATCTTCTTTCTTAATCGTATTAGTTGCATGTGTCACGTTTTTAAGAGCTTTTTTGAATTTCTCAGAATCGAGAGGGGTGAAAGTAAGATACAAGGGTATTTTTCATTATCAATAAATTGTAACTTATGTTTACGAATAAATTTAGTACCTTCTTCTGAAAGTGTTTCATCTATTTCACCATCTAATAAATTTTGTGTTGATTCTGAGACATAATTTTTATATCTTTCTTCATGAGATTTCTGAACTGCTGATTCTGAAGCTGGGATATTCATTAAACCCTCTACTTCATTTTCAACTTCTCTTAATTCCTTAATTTTTTCATCTATTTCATCTCTTATTTTTTCCAGTCTTTCAATTTCATTGTATTCATCATCTTTAATCCGTTCTTCATAATATTCAGGGAAAACATCAGGTTCTTTAGGTTTTTCTTCTTTAGATGTGGGATATAAGAATTTTATAACATCATCTTTATTCATTTTTCCATCATAATCAAACTCATTTAAAAACTCCGCGAATTTTTGACAATTTCTTAAATAATATTTATCAACCTCATAACCCGCCTCCTCTAATATATCCTTTATTTCCTCATTTGTGAATCCCAATTTTTTAACGTCGTTAGTCTTGACGCTCATTTCATACAAAATAAAAATAAATTATTCAAAAATGTAAGACATGAATTTTTAAAGTTTATTTTTTCATCTGTTGAAGAATTTAATGACTATTATGCTAACAATAAAAAATTATTTGAAGAATTGACAACGTGTAAATTGAATAAAATGTTTAAAGTTGATGGATTCAAAAATTCAAAAATAAAAGGAGTGGTTAGTTTGAAATCTATTCCTCAATCAAGAATCACCTCATTAATGAAAATTGATGATTTAACAAAAAGAATAGAAGAGATTGAAGAAAGAATGAATCAAATAATTAATTTCATAAATTCAAATAATCATTAGTTTCTTAAAGTTCTATGTTGATTCTGAGACATGAATTTTTAAAGTTTATTTTTTTATTTTATTATGGTAGTGAATCTTTCATTCATGAGGTCTTTGATTATGACTCCATTGATTCCATTCAGGATTTAAATGATGTTTAATTAATCGTGGAATATCTGACATCATCTATATATAGCTTCTTTTATAAAAGATGAAAAATAAATTATTTTAAAATTAATGTTAATTTTTTAATGATTTATTTTTCATTTCATTGTGTATGGGCTGAGTGTAAATGTCTTACAATTTTGAAAATTTTTTAAATCTTGATTTATTCAAAAACGTAAGAATAAAAACCGTAAGAATCATACATTTTTTACTTCATATGTTAAAAAAAATGATACAAAATCGTTCGATATTGTATGAATTCTTACGTTTACAAAAAAAGTCACACAACCCTTCCACATATACTACTAATTTTACAAAATGTAATTTTTTAAACAATGAATATAAAGGGGATAGAGCTTCAATAATTAGCTGTGAAACATCAACTATTTTTTCTAATTGTTCATTCATTGGGAATAAAGCAAACTTTTTATTATCCCATAAACCAAAAATTGTTGAGAATTGTTATTTTTCTGAAAACACTATCACATCAACTGTAGATTGGTATTATTCAGTTTCTTATGAATCAGTTAAACCATTAGATTCATTAATAATACATTATACAACAGATAATTGCCCTGCTCCATTAATTGATAATAAGAATGTATCAGATAAAACATTCAAAAAGCAAAAATTCAAAATTAAAGACATCAAAAATATTGTTAAGGATATTTATAAAACTCTATATGTTGCTGTAAATATATCTACTTTAAAATAATAAATTTATATTTTCCTAATATTGGCTTTAAAATTCCTTTTTCCAACGATACAGCATTGCTTTCATTCAATGAAAATATATTAGCTATACGCTCCATTTTATGCGAGTACATATTTCTATAGGCAATTTCTTATTAAGCTCTTCAAATAGCAAGATACAGAAGCCCAAGGTTTCCAAAAAAACAGAATATCCTCTCAGGAATTGTCAAACTTGAGGCTGATAACAAGAAGTTTAACTACATTACATCACACTTTGGTGTTGAGTCATCAATTTCGTTCGCAAACAGAGCTCCTGAAGTATAAAAATCATTTTGGTGATTGTTTCATTTAACATGAAGTTCTACTTCTTTAACTTGTCCCAAAAACGCGATCGTCTTGAATCTCCAATTTTAAGGGCTCTGATCGACAACGTATCTCTCAAAATTTTCAATTTGCAAGCTCATATCTTGGTGAATCCCATTAAACAATCGAGAAGCTAATTAAGATACTACTTAGAGTATTAGAGACAATATATATATAAAGCTTCTAAAGCATGTCAATTCAAACAAAAAGATTAAATTTAAGATATAAAAGTATCATGATATTGCATTTCTGATTATCAGGATGCACGATTTGATCTTTCTATTCAAAACAAAAACTTAGATATTATTTGTAAATTGGTGTCACATTTTAAATTATGTCAGACGCATATAGAGATCAAATCAACTCATTTAAGTTGACAGATTTTTAATGTACATAACCTCGGCATAGTGGCTTTAAGCTCAATTGTATGGAAAATACGTAATAACTCGTGTGGAAAATGGCGTTTTTTAGGTGGGTCAATAAAAGTTAAAAAATAATGACAAATATAACATTGAATTAGATCATAGAATATGTACGTAAAGGGATTCAAATTTTTGTCATTAAATGGATCCCCGCTATTCAATTATCCTTTCAAGATAAAAGTAAACTATTCAATTTTGATGCAAATCTATCAAAAATTGAATAGTTTACATTAGTACCTCTTAGGATCCGATTTATGTCTTTTCAAGTTCCTTTCTTTTTATTTTGTTCCAAAAATATCACACAATCATCTTTTTAGCATCATTTTCCATCTACAACATTATGATGATAACTTATCCCGCTACAAGATCCAAGTATCAATACATATTATATGCAGTAAATTCGACGAAAGAAAAAAGTTATTGCCCATCAACTATTTTTAAATCATTATTCAAGTTAAGCAAGACTTTCCCAACTAAAAGGAAGGATTTCGCTCTATTCTACGGAGAAAAAATGAACTTATTTATACATAAAATAATTAAACGCAGAGAATCTCTAATTGCTCAAGCCAGCCATTTTCATGGAAATTGGGTACATGCAAAGAAAATGTATGCCTCTAATTATTTGTATTAGGAGATACAGTATTTGCATTAGGAGATATCAACATCATTGTAGACAACTTTTATTATCAACCTGGCAGAGTTGTTGGTGCATATGAGAACGTTATAGTCCTTGGCCATATAGAAGCAGGCATGTTTGGACATTTGATGAATGAAGTTTTGACCCAGACAGTACTTTTCCCGGATGAAATACAAAAGAAGTCACATATCATTGTAAAAGGAGATCCTTCTATGTGGAAGGAAATCATGATTGTTTTTGGGTTCGAAGGAAGAACAATTGTACTTCAACCAGAGCAATGGATTTTTTGTGAGAACCTTTATACAGTTGTTGAACCAAGACCTCATGGAGGGTATTACGGACCAGCAATAGATAATCTTCATATTGTACTTAGAAAAACTTTTAACGTATCTCATATTGTTCCGACAAAAATTGGGGTTTTTGAATAGGAAAGGACCTCTTAGAGTCGTGGAAAACTACGCAGCATTGATTGAAGCCGCAAAGAAGAAATATCCTGATTATGATTTCTTTCTTATTCCAGACACGTTAGTTGCGCATGAGGCCGCTAAAACATATTCGACTTGTAGAATTATGATGACAACTACAGGCTCTTCTTGTAATAATATTATGTATATGGCTGATAAAACATGCGTTATTAAACTGATAGGGCCCGGAATTGACGTAAGCAATATTGTTGTTCCAATATCAATTGAGATATATCAAATTAACTTGTATTATCCAGGATTGCTTCATTATCAGCCATCTATAACTAATGTTAATATTACAGAGTCATTAAAAGCTATTGATTTGGCCTTTTATGTCACAGAGCATCATAAATGGCCTCAAATTGCCGAATTCAATTACTTTATCTAATATATTTTTAATTTTTTTTTATTTTTTGTATATAATAAAATTTTGTCTTTTGCAAACTAACACTTTTAATGTGCATTACCTTAATACAGACTATCCATAATGGTTTATAATTTTTCAATGTTAAATTTAACAATATTTAATGACTTTCATTCAGATGCTTCATATGGATCAATGGTATATCATACCATCCATATATTTCTCGTAGAAAGTTCTAACAGAACCTTATATTCATAGAGAATATGCTTTTATGATGTCATCAAAAATTTCCATTTTTTTTGGACCTTTCTTTGATTGAAGGAGTGACATTGAGTTTGCGTGTCCTAAAACACCTATGTTCTGCGACATCGCCAAAAACATAAGTTAAAGGTGACATCAAAATTGACAAGTTTACGAAATAATAAATGACCGAAATTACATTTGAGTACGACAGATTTACAAGATCTTACTTTACTGGAGAGAAAATAAAAGGTGCTGTTAAAGTAAAAACAACAGAGAAAATAAAACCAAAAGAAGTAACATGCACAGCATATTGCATCAGAACTGTTGATCCAAATGGTCACGGCCTTACAAGTTTCGACGATCCAATTCCAAAAGTTGCAGATCGTATTGTTTGGCAACATAATATACCGATTAATCCAGCTCCAACTGTAATTGAAGATGGATATACTCTTCCTTTTGAATTTACAGTTCCTAAGGAAAGCAAAATGACAGAATCCATTCGTTGCAAATACATTTCCGTTGACTACTTTGTTGAATTCGTAATAAAGAGAGGTCTTCTCTCATCTGACATTGTTGGCACGAAAGGATTCTTCATTGTTGCCGATTTAGATAAAAATATTCCAGCAGGCGAACCCGTTGAAGTTAATGTTAATAAAGTTAACCCGCAAAGGTCAATGGGCAAGAAGGCAAACTTTAAAGCTCACATTCATTTCAATACTAATGTTGCCACATTCACGAAGCCTCCGACCGGTTGGATTACTATTGTCGACTCAGATACTCCGATTGAAGCAATTACAGTTTCATACATTCGTAATGAAACAATTCTAATCGACAGAACAAATCCACAGACATTAAACTCTGAAAAGAGCCGTACATATATCGCAGAAAATGATCCTCCACATGGAATCCAAATTCCATTTAACATTGAATGGTCTCGCATCCATATTAGCGCAGATTTAGAGACCCCACTGTTCTCAGTATCAACAAGCCTTAAGGTCCGTATTGTCTTCACAAACGGAGCTTACGCTTCAACAACTATTCCTTTGAAACTCTATCACGATCTTGCTTACTAAATAATTTTATATAATTCATTTAAAAGTATTTAGTAGGTGATTTTTTTTTATTTCATTACAAAGTAAAAAAACAGAAAATTAATCTTTATTTGTAAATTTCTCTTTTTATTATTACCAAACACATAGTCATCCATAAAGAAAAGCATTTCCTAATTATAACATACTAAATTCTAAATTTCCAATTCAATTTTGATAATTTCCAAATATTTCATAGAGCAACTTGTAAAATTATTAATTAATACACAATCAAAATCAATAATTGAGGGAAATTGAATTATATTTTATTTGTTCAATTAATTTGATGGAATCTCGACATAACGTATCATTAGTTTTACCAGACAAAAGTGAGATTTTGCTTAACAATGTACCATTCAGTTGCAGTGCTGAGCAAATGTTCTCAAGAATTTCTTCATTAGATAGAATTAAAAAATTAAACGCAGAGTTGGAACTTATTCAAGATGGAAAATTACTCGAATTAGATGATTGCATTACACAAGACATAGTTGTTGTCCAAAAAGTTAAATATTCAACTTCAAAATTAGTTTTCAACACGTATTTAGCAGTAATAATCATTTTAGCGATCATACCTATTGCTACATATATTCGATTAAATCGTTCGACAGGTTATGTCATTATTTCTTTTGTTATTTGCTTATTTATATTTTCAATTTTAACAATTTTAGTACAACCACCTCGAGATAGTTCAGATAATATTAAGAACCATATAGTTTTAGAGCTAATAGTACTGTTTTTCAAGAGCATGAGCCCGAGATTCAGGTTAGTTAACCTAATTATCAACGAATGATTCTAACATCAATATAATTTACTTTAGAGATGAATTTGTTACTTATTAGAAATAAACTCTATATTTGTTTTCTTATTATTTCAATCTTTTTAATACGATATCAGTTTTTTTGCTGATTAAATCTTCAATGCTTTGTCCTCTATTCTTTTCAAAATTCAGCTAGCCTTTCTTATTGGAACAAATTAAGAAATTGTAAAAAAAATCATATATATTTTTAAGAATCAAACATTTAAGAAACAAACTAATTCAAAACAACCAACACTATTTAGATCTACACTGAAAACATACATACACATATGATTTAATCGATTTGATCATAAATTTCAGTAAAAAAGATAGCATCCTTATAGTATTTACTATTTTCATTTGATGCTATCTCATTTGCTTCTGATAGTAATTCATCAGATTTAATAAATTGATAAAATTCTTCTGAGTTTTTCTGATTTTTGCCTCTTTCATAAAGAATATTCACCGATCTTATAACAGCTCCAAATAAGTCACTAAATCCACATCCATATAATGTATTGAGGAATTCTGTAATTTCGGAATCTGAAAAAACAGCCATAGCAACATTATAATCAGATACTTCGCATAATATAAAACATAGAATATATATTGACGCAAATCTAATGTCAGCATTTAATTCATATCCCAATTTAATAATTTCAATCATTTTATTATTGCAAATTGCAGTGCAAGTATTGCATCTATCAGTCTGAGCAACAGAAAAAATAAATCTTTTGAAAATTGGAAGATTATCTGGTTGAATAGATTCAATGAATTTTTCTAAAATTTTTTCATCGAGAATCATCTTTGATATCGCATCACTTATTTCTGATATAGTCATATAGAATAACAACGAACTATCTAATACAAGTTGACTTTCTGTAATCAAGGAAATCGGCTTAAATAAATCATTCTTATTTTCCAAAAAAGTGACAAAATTTGATGTTGGATTCTTTTTGATGATTTTCTCCATGATTCTTAGAGAATAGTCAATTTCTTCAATTGGGGGACGATTATCAGCGAAAGCTATGCTAGAACATATTGTAAGAATTTGCTCTTCTTCTTCGAAACAAACAAAATACTTTGATGAAGAAATTATCAACAAAAAATTTAAAATTTTTGAATGAGAAAGATCATAATGCTTGATCAAGATTTGTGCTACATCCTTCTGATAGGCCGTTTGAGTTATTGGATTTGACGTCGTATACCAAGAACATAATTCTAGCAAATAAAAAAGTGTTTTTTCATCATTTGCAAAATCTTCAAGTTTTGGAATGAGAATTGATAACAAGACTGATCCAGCAATCTGTGTTAGGAACAATGAGTTATACTTGACAAGAGATAATAAGAACTGAGATGCTAAATTTATTATTTTTTTGTGATTAATTTGGAAAACTTTTAAAATTGATTCTCTAAATGTTATTGGAAATTGCTTTGGTTCTAGATAGTTGTTTAAAGGGATTCTTAGGATATCTATTAAAGCACTTTCAATGGTTCTATTATTATAACTTTCTAATTTTTCTATAAACAGGTTTATATAGTGTACATCCATTTTCTTTCCTAAGTTTTCTGGAATATCTTCTATTATTTCATTAGTACCTTTTACCTCTTCGTCAAAATCAGGATCCTCCATAAATAAAAATGAAATAAAAAGTGAAAATAGATCATAAAAGGCGTTAATCGCTTGAATAATAATCAGAGCTATTAATTGCTTGCTATAGTTACAACAAATTACATTTAGTAGTAGGATAGGAAGGGTTGTGTGACTTTTTTTGTTACGTCTATATATAGATGAAGGTATATTTTCACATCTTCTATATATAGATGATATAAAAATTTTTTCTTACGTTTTTTAAGTCATGAATTCGTAAGAAAGCGCGACATTATTAAATAAATTAGTAATAAATATTATATACTAAACACATTTTAAAAAATTAACATTAATTTTAAAATAATTTATTTTTTTATCTTTTATAAAAGAAGCTATATATAGATGATGTCAGATATTCCGCGATTAATTAAACATTGTTTAAATCCTGAATGGAATCAATGGAGTCATAAACGAGAAAAATGAATAAAAAATAAACTTTAAAAATTCATGTCTCAGAATCAACATTGAACTTTAAGAAACTAATGATTATTTGAATTTATGAAATCAATTATTTGATTCATTCTTTCTTCAATCTCTTCTATTCTTTTTGTTAAATCATCAATTTTCATTAATGAGGTGATTCTTGATTGAGGAATAGATTTCAAACTAACCACTCCTTTTATTTTTGAAATTTTGAATCCATCAACTTTAAACATTTTATTCAATTTACACGTTGTCAATTCTTCAAATAATTTTTTATTATTAGCATAATAGTCATTAAATTCTTCAACAGATGAAAAAATTTTTATTTCAGTAATTGGTTTAACAACGTTTATTTTTTGTTGAACATTTTCACTTTCATTTATTTCTTCCTCCTCTGTTTCATTTATTTTCAAAATCGGTTTCATTTATCATTAAATAAAAATTAGAATATAAGTGATGAAATATATTTTTTAATTAATATTAAATCAGAAATGGCGGCAGGATTCTTTAAAAAATTATGGGATGGAATTAAGAAAGCTGCGGGTTGGGTTTATAAAAAGATTATTAAACCCGTTGCAAACTTTTTGGCACCAGTAGCGAAAACGGCAGGAACTATCATAGGTGGAGTATTAGGTACTAAAGCAGGTAATCCGGCGATGGGAGCACAAGCAGGTAACGCAGTTGGTGGAATTGCTGAAGGAATACTTAATAAAATAGGAGGTAAATAGTGGAAAAATAAATTATTTTTATCTTAGTATCGGTTGAAGTCTTTGATAAACTTTTTCTCCTTTATTTAAAACTTCTCTTATTGGGGCAGCTTTTGGTGTTATTGATTCAGCAATGTCACTAATTGCTTCTTTATTCTTAAATATCCAATTTGCTCCCTTCTTCATTGTTTCCCAAACTTTATGCGCTCCTCTTTTTACTTTATCCCACAGTTTCTTAAATATACCTGCAGCCATAGTTGATTATTTCATTAAAATTAAAAATTCATTTTCATCTTTTAATTTTGATTTTTTATTTATTAATAAATGACGACTAACTATTTAGTGCCAAACACCAAACCAATTAATGGAAATGTGTTTCACTCATTCGAAAAGATAAATGAAATATTCGCAAAGAATGATGGTAGAAGATATTATAGAGAACTTGAAAGTTCATGCTATGACTCTGATGCTCCATATTTTGATGATAAACAAACTCATTTAAGAATTACAAATCCAGCTCATGATGTGAACCAATTAGGTGACACATATATTAAACGCAAAGTTAAAGCAACTCTAGTTTCAAATAAAGCTTTCACATGTGATGCCGCTTTTAAATGCATGCGTTTATTCGTTGGTTACAAATCATCAAATCAAAGCTTTAAACAATTAGAAGTAGAAACCGAAAGAGGTGATGCCGGTTATCTTCAGATGGATTGCGCCCGTGAATCTTTCGCATTTGCAACATATAAACCAAAATCAGAAAGGAAAGTTAAAAAGTTTGTTCATTCGTTATATAATAATGTTCAAAAATATGATAACTCAGTATGTGGTAAATATATTGACCCTTCAGAAGTTTTCAAGAGAGCAAATGAAGAAGTTGATGTCACTTTTGATATGATTATTCCGGTAAATGATTTGTTAGCATTTCAGGCGTTCGATGATTATCCTAAATCATTTGGTGATATCATTCTTAAATATTATGTTTTCAGGGATACTTTAGTATTTTGTCAGGTTGACATGTTAAGAGTTGCTGATTTACAAAATTACGTTTATGAAAAGATAACTGATGAAAATTATGAAAAGATTATGAATCATGTTTATAAATATGATCGCAAATTCCAACAAATCGGACTTCCTGCCAAATTAATTACAAGCTTAGCCGCTACATCTGCTGACGCAACAGTTGATGACGTTATTATTTCATGCACAAAGATGGAAGTTTTAGAGGATAAATGCATTACACCAGGATACGGTTTAATTGAAGAATCAGTTAAAGCAATACCACGTTTATTCAGTAAGGAAGATCCATTCATGATTCCAGCTCAACATATTGACGTTCGTTCACTAAATGGAGGTTGCATCACTCCTGAAGGTATCAGCTCAGATTTCTCATACGCTCTTCATAATGTTACAGATGTTGTGTTAACATTTCCGAAGAATGCAATGCAAAGAACAGTTTTAGAAAATCCAATGCTTCGAGGTCTTCAGGTCACTATAGATTCCAGAAACTTCCCCGATCAAGCGATGACCACAGTGGGTGACATATTCTTTACACGTATGCTTCAAGCTTCTGATTTAGATGGAGTGAATGAATACACAGAAGAATACGAGGACTCATTAACTAGACCACTGAATGATGATAATGGCACGCCATTAGCTAGAACATGGAAAGACCAAACTTCATTCTTATGCACTATTCCAGTTCAACGTGATGGAGCGGGTATATTCTTTGATGGATTAGAAACTTTCAACTCACAAGTTACAGTACAAGTGAAAGCTTATCCAATCATTCAGGGTGAAAATGACACTTACTGTTCAAAGGTGACAAATCCTCCTCAGGTTTGGTTTACTAGGACTACATCTTGGACATGGACACCGGATGAAGGTTTGAAATATCATTCAACAGGTACACCACCACAGTATAGAAGTTCATATGATGAAATATTGATGAATAGAAATGTTTAAAATTATAAATTTATTTTTGATTAAATGGATTTAAATTCATCCACTCCTTATGAAGAATTAGCAGGAGTATATAATACATACGTAGATGATATAATTAATGAAGCATTGAGTGATAATAGAAATGCTCTATCTAAGGAAAAATTAATGAAAATTCCATATTCTGAATGTTACTTAAATTCAATCACTGCAGCAATTGGTAAACAAAATAAAGGTAAAACATTAACGATATTAAAACAAATTATCATTATTGCTAACACTTCCCCTATTCACATGTGTTAATTTATATCAACCGTTCAGGTTCACATTCAGATGATACATTTGAATCTTTAAAGCATTTAATCAAAATTCCAATTATTTATTTATCACAAGAAGAAGCAGAAGATTATTTAAAAAACTTTTTAATGTATAAAGAATTATATAATACAATCAAGAAGCAAGGATTAGAGGATAAAATTATTGATAAACAACGGGATGAATTATTTGAAACACTTTCTATTTCAAATTTTGATAGAGAATTTTTGCATTCACTCATTTTTCTAGATGATGCAGTAAAATCAAAACTAATAACAAATGAGAAATCATATTTTAATCATTATTAACTCAATGTCGACACATTCAGTGTTCATTCTTCATGGCTGTTCAATACTTCAAAGCATTAAGCACAAACATTAAATCAAATCTATCAACACTTTTCATTTTCAGTGGGTTTAGTCGTCAACAGTTGAACGTTATGCTTTATCAAGTGAATTTACCAATGAGCATTAATGAACTTTACACACAATATCAGCAATTAGGTGAACATGGGAAAATAATAGTTGATTTAAATAAAGGAGGTGTTAAATTTGATTAACTTTTTATAATTAATTTTTATTTTTTATTTATAATTAAACATGACAGAAATAGCAAATCTTCTACAGGTTCCATTAAAACAGGGGACAAACAAAAGGGGTGTATATAATAGAACTATGAAAGTTCCTGATGGAATGAAAGAATTAGTTCATATTGTTGCTGGTCTTCAAAAAGATGTTAAACAAATGAGAAACGTTTTAACATTACCAGAAGCTCAAGCATATGCCAAACGTCATGGTCCAAATTGGGAAGCACACGAAGCAGACATTACGGGTCCAAATGGAAAACCTGATGGTATAAATGAAGTTTTCGTTACTGATGGTCAAGGTAATATTAAAGTCATAAATGGTTATAAATTAACTATATCTGATTATCCTAAACGTAAAGCATATAATGAACGTTATCCTATGCAATTTGATGAAAATGGAAAAGCTGTTAAACAATACATTGGAGAAGGTGAAAATGGTCCAATTAATTCATACCGTCATAATCCATATTCTTATTTCAATGAAGAATTAAATGCTATTAAAGAGGGACCGGATGGATTACCACGATATTCTAACCAGTTTGATGGTCAATATGCAAATATTAGACCTGAAATTTCAGCTAAGAAATTCTTTAAAGTTGCTTTATTCGATCCAGTTTTCGCAAATGTTAAAGATGAACTTAAACAGCAATTCCAACCAATTATAGTAGCAAGAATTGCATCAGGTGCTTTATCTCAAGCATTCAAAGATTTAATTAAGAAACCATTATATCAGCAACGAGGTTTAACTTATGATTTAGTTAAGGAATCAGATAAAAGAAAATTTGAGAAATCAGATGATTATAAGAATGCAATTAATGAATATATTCGGTCTATTAATTTCGATGAAACAGCTAAAAATCAACTTCATGAACAAATACAGGGAATAATAGATTCAAAAGTTCCAGTAAAATAAAAGTTTAAATATATTTTTTTATTCGAATATAAATGAGAAGACGTTTCACTAGTCAAAAGAACACTAACGCAAAAGCAGAGATTAAGGTTGGTTATCACGTAAATGATGATAAATCACGAATTATTCAAAATGTTAAAGTTAATGTTAGCCCTGAACTAACAAGGTCAGCAACTCAACCAAATTTATTAACTCGTGACTTACCGAAAAAGGAGGAGGAGCAAAATAAAGAAGATGGAGACCCAATCATTTTATCTGAACCGGTAAAGAACCTGTTGAAATTCCCACTTATCCAACATACCCCCACCTCTTTCATCAAACATCGAGAACCCATATAAAATAGACATTAATTCTGAATTAATGAAAATTTACCGTGATATAATAATTAATAATTATGATTCAATAATAAATTTAATTGACCAATCCGGTTTAATTATTTTACCTTATGAATCATTAATTCACATTATCGCCATTCTTTGTGATGTTCAAGATTCAGACGTTAAGATTCAATTTTTCATAGATGATGAGGTTTCATGCTGCGGAACAGTTGCAAAAATAAATCCTATAAAGGATATTAGCACAATTAAGATATCAAAGAACGGAACAACAACTGAACTTCATTTAACATATAATGATATTTATAATAAAATAGTTGATGAATATAAAATATCACTTAAAAAATTCTTTGTTAAGGCTATTTAATATTCAAGCATTAACATTATTGAATAATAATCCTTTGAATCATAATCAATAATAATTGACCTTTCACCAGTTTCTATCGTTTGTTTTATTTCTTTTTGTTCCCCACTATCTGGATCGGTCATTGTAATTGTTTTTGTTATAGTATCAGCTTTATCTTTAACTTCAATCTTTTTTCCATCAGGATATTTAAACCAAAATTCCAAAAATTCGATATTGTCAATCTGTTCATATTTTAATCTATCAATTACATTTTTAATACCATCTGAAAATCTTATGAAATGGTCATTATATGGGTTTGATTGAACTAAATTTGAATGAAGTGAAATATAACCTGTTGATGAATATGACATTGACTCATATTTTCTGAAAACACTAAAATTTATAACATGAATGAATTTCTTATTCGTTGAATTTATGAATTCTTGAGGTAATCTTATTCTAGTTTTATTTATCACTGGAAAATAACGCTTTACCATATTTTTAATCGTAATAAAAATGTCAATTATCAATATTATTTCGAATAATAGTTGTGAATTAAATTTAACAGTTAGCGGAATTTATAATGTTACTCTCGTTTCTGTGAGTGGTAAATTTAATCCCATTCTTTTAGACCCTTCAGATTATATATCATTTATTAAAGATGACCATGAAAAAACGTATGATATGTATATAAATAATGTGATAACGAAATGGGATATTAACATGATTTTAAGTTATTTAAATGAATCATTTATCGTATGGTATGAAGAAAATTTTAAATCAAAACCCGATAAACTTTTTGAACTTGATGAAATAAATAACCTTATTAAATTTCCGCTGAAAATTAAATTTTGTACTCCTCATCTTCGTTCATTGTTGGGAATATTAAATTTTGAAAAAGATGTTGGGGATGTTTTGTATTCTGACACTGGTTCCAATTTCATTTTAATCAAATGTGATAAAGTTAATACCCCAATGAGATTTTCACATCAAACATTAGACCCTAACTCTTACCCATCAATACAAAACATTTTATCCATCAACTTAAACACATTTTCTTTATCATATCCGTTTCAATTATCCGGGAATTCATTTATTCTTCATTCAAAAGATTTATCAAATATTAAATTTAGAATAACTGACCTATTTGATTGTGATTTAGAATTCATGAATGAAATATTATGGCAATTTCAAATAGAAAAAATAGCTGATGAGATAACAGATTAAATATTTATTTTTAAATCATAATAAATGATTAAACAACAGCAACTTAAGGCACAAAGCACCCAGGTCCTTCAGACCATTACATACGCCATATATGCATATAATTCAAAGACGGGAGAACAAACGCAAAGGTTGAAATATGGAGATTTGGAGATAGTATTGAAAAATGAACATTTCGAATTCGTTTGCAAAGGTGGTGCAGTGATATCAAATATAAAAGAAATTTTATTTATGAATTCAAAAATTAAAGGAATAACGGATGATATAACATCAATTCCACCAGAAGAACAGAGATATTACGCATTAAATGCATTTCCTAAAGTTTTGAAGATTGGAAGATTTAATTTAAATGAGGAATTCATAGAAGGTTTCCTAAACGACATAATGAAGAAGGTGGATAAGGAATATGTGGATAGTGAGTTAAATAAGAAGGCAAATTTGGTTTATGTTGATGAAAAAGATAATGAAATTAAAGAAAAGGTTGAATGGTATCATGAATGGACATCGGAGACTTTTAAAGTTAAAGCTGATACAGAATGGGTTTCAGGATGTTTAGACCTTAAAGCAGATAAAACATATGTGAATGAAAATTATGCAAAGAAGTCGGAAGTAAATGATGTGATTACAAGCATGAAAAATGAAATTCTTCAAACATTATATCCTGTTGGTTCTATTTATACGTCAATGAACTCAACAAATCCAGCAAGTGTTTTAGGTTTTGGTATGTGGAAGCAGATTGTAGATAAATTCTTATACTGTGCTAGATATTCAAAGCAAACAGGAGGTTCGAAGAAAATTAAAGAAGCAAACCTTCCACCGCACACTCATACAGGAACTACAAACACAACAGGAAATCATTCACATTCAATAACAAAAAGAGGTTATACAAATCTTGCAGCGGGTTCGTATAGATGGGGAATGAATAGAGATGATATCACAACTGACCCAGTAGATTCAAGCACAGGTATTTTCTGTGGAACCACAGGTAATCATTCACACACTTTCACAACAAATCCAACAGGCTCGGGTAAAGATTACATGCCACCATTTGTGACTGTATTCGCATGGTACCGCGTTCATTGAATGTGCTTGAGACTTGACCCAAAGGGTTTAGGCTTACCGAATGAACTAAATATATTTTATGTCTGTAATTAATTAGGTAATGAAGTAATGGATGAACTGCAGAAATAATGTTTACGTTAAGTGACTCAAAGAGTCCGGTGACAAAGTCTCATGTTTACGTTAATGGTTTTTAGGTTATTCAATAATGAATTATTTTTGAATAACTGAAGGTGCTACCATGTTACCATGTGCTACCATGTTAATTAACTTCTCTGAAAAAATGAGACAACATGACATTTTGACAACAACACAGGAGGAAGGTATTTATGAATTATTTTTGAATAACTGAAGGTGCTACCATGTTACCATGTGCTACCATGTTAATTAACTTCTCTGAAAAAATGAGACAACATGACATTTTGACAACAACACAGGAGGAAGGTATTTATGAATTATTTTTGAATAACTGAAGGTGCTACCATGTTACCATGTGCTACCATGTTAATTAACTTCTCTGAAAAAATGAGACAACATGACATTTTGACAACAACACAGGAGGAAGGTATTTATGAATTATTTTTGAATAACTGAAGGTGCTACCATGTTACCATGTGCTACCATGTTAATTAACTTCTCTGAAAAAATGAGACAACATGACATTTTGACAACAACACAGGAGGAAGGTATTTATGAATTATTTTTGAATAACTGAAGGTGCTACCATGTTACCATGTGCTACCATGTTAATTAACTTCTCTGAAAAAATGAGACAACATGACATTTTGACAACAACACAGGAGGAAGGTATTTATGAATTATTTTTGAATAACTGAAGGTGCTACCATGTTACCATGTGCTACCATGTTAATTAACTTCTCTGAAAAAATGAGACAACATGACATTTTGACAACAACACAGGAGGAAGGTATTTATGAATTATTTTTGAATAACTGAAGGTGCTACCATGTTACCATGTGCTACCATGTTAATTAACTTCTCTGAAAAAATGAGACAACATGACATTTTGACAACAACACAGGAGGATTAATGCAAAAATAAATTCAAATCATACTTTATAAAGCATCATTTACAGGTATTTCATAGTCAGTAAATGAATCCTCATTATCGTTTGGTTCAACCTGTTTATATAATCCTTTCATTTCTTCTTTCAAAACATAACACCATGTTTGTTTATCGTCTATTCTTCTATGTTTCCTATCACATTTATCCTTAATGCTCATTTGAAAATTCTTGTCTTTCATGTCTGATGGTTTGCAGAATAGAGCATTTTTACACGTCATACCTGCACACAATTCATCATAATGTGTATTTATCCATACATCTAAAGGATTTGTTGATAATTCAATTAAATCTTGTTTGGCTTCAGTCATCGGTATGATTCGTACATTAAATGATGAAAGGTCGTAATTGATAAAATATGTTAAAAAGTTATCATAAAATTCCTTTGTGCATGAATCCATTAAATTCTTGAAGTAATCAAATTGACCCTTGAATTTACCATTAACTCTTAAAACTACGTATCTTCTGTCTCCAACTTCAATTTTGACAGGGTAGACGTTGTTAGTTACGAAAATGACCCAAAAATAATGTTTATGTTAGAATGTTAGATCTAACACCTTTTCTAACATGTTTTCTACCCTCTTGCGATTTTCATACGGAATCTCTTCTCTCGGTTTTCCGAGGGAAGCAATCATATGAGGAAATTCTTCTAAAAGTTCTTTTGTCTGTTGGTTTTCAAACCAATGATATGCTTGCTTTGTAGAACGAAGAGCATTCATTATACTTTGCATTTGGTACATGTCATCTTTGACCGAACGAATGAGGCGAAGTTGTTTGTTATATTGTATGTACTCGTATTCTTCATTTATGTCTTCATGAACGATAGCAGTTGTTGTGTTCTCTGATGTTGACATTACTGTCATTTCATACAAAATAAAAATAATTTTAAAACTAACTTTATTTTTTCTGACTTTCACAAAAGACCAAAAATAAACGCTTTACATGTATTTTTCAGCAACTTCGTCAAATAATTTTATAGCTTTATCTATCTCATCTACTTCAAACGTTTCTTTACCTTTCATGGGAGCACCATACCTTTTCTCAAACTTTTCAAGTAGTTCTGTTTCAGCAGCTCTCATATCATTAACGAACACAACCTTGACTCTATTGACTGTACTGTCATATCTTTGAGTTATATTATATGTTCTTCCTATCTTATATCTCTTTGTATTGAAGTCCTTCGGTTTCTGAACGATGTAAAGTAAGCCTTCACTGCAACGTTCCGTATCGAATGAACCATAAGTTATGAAGTTATATCCAACAACTGGGTCTAACCATAACAAAACTATTGGTATAAGACTTTTGTCTATAAGATATGCTCTTGTTCCATGAAATGCTACTGATATCATAAGCTCAGGATTTCTTGTCAAAATTTTCTGAGTAGAAGCAATTCTAACCCAGTCCTTTGTTTTCTTTCCAGATGGAGATATAATGTCTGACAAAGAATATTTGTTGTATTTCTTTGAGTATCTTACGTTTAAATCACCTATTCTAACCACTTTGGTGTCATTGTCAATCTTTCTAACTGTTTCAAACTCAATGTTTGACATTACTGTCTTTACATACAAAATAAAAAATTTTCTTAGAAAAAATTAGCGTTATTTTTCTAACTAATGAAATTCATGAAATTTGGTCATTTTTCAGACAAAAATAATGTTTAGAGTAGATGGTTAGATCTAACACGTTTTCTAACCACTTTTCTAACATAACTATTTACAAGCGTTTTACATGGTATATGTTGCGATGGTTCATGACTTTAAACAGTTTTGTAGCTTCTATTTCTTCACGAAGAATATCAAAAATTTTAACTATGCCGAAGGTTTCTTTATACTTCTTCTTGACATCAGATAATAGGAAATCGTCAGCTGTTGGATAGTTTTTGTTCAGAAATGCTAACATGTCCATTTTATCTTCTGCTGGTTTCTCTACTTCTTTCTTTAAGTCAGCATAGTCGTTTCGCATACGTTCTATCTCTTTGACGGAGTAGTTATATTTCCTTATTGCTGCTTTACATTTTGAACATTGCGGATTCATTTTTGCGTTATACATTGAAATTTGACCTGCTAGAACAACTAAGGCGTCAATGGTTTTCTTTAACTCAAAAGTTGTTGGTTTTATTTGTCCATTCCATATTTTACATCTTTTATCTTTATCTCTTATCTGCCATACACATTCAGCAACTAATGAAACAAAGTTGTCGTATGTCTTAAACTCCCCAGATTTATATATGTCAGAGATGTTCTTATATACCATGTCGCAATCTTTGTCCATAACTTTATGGTTGCAATGATATCCTAGAAACTCATAGTTTACTTTACGTATGAACTTCTTTATTTCTACTGAGTCAGTTGGTTTCCCTTCTATTTCATCGAATTCATGAATAGTGAGCTTTTGTTGTTGGATTTCAGGCAATTTGGGTAAATGGTCAATAATGTCCTGCATGTCATAAAGATACTGTTCATTTGTTTCATCTTTCGCACTACAGTCTAAATTACTTGTTAAAAGTTCTTGCTTAATTCTTTGTATTTCTGTCTCAAAAGTATATGAAGAAGGAATGAAGCTTTTCATCTCTACTAACATAGATGTTGGATTCATAACTAAAGAGTTTGGTGAAGTTGTTGTTTGAAGTGTTGTAGAACGTATTGTTGAAATCATATCTTTACATACAAGATAAAAATTTTTCTTAGAAAAAAAATTAGCGTTATTTTTCTTTCATAAGGAAATGTCAAAAATTCATGATTTTCGAGAGTTTTAGACCATGTTAGAAAAGTGGTTAGAAAACGTGTTAGATCTAACCATCTACCCTAAACATTATTTTTGCTGAATTCAGCAACAAAATGAACGAGGTCAGGATGTATGTAAATACCTTTGAATTCATTTATAACGCCCTTAGTAAGCTCATAAAATGCTTGTTTTGAGGTGGAGTCAAAAGTGGCTCGACCGTATTCTTTCAACCAAAACTCAAGGATTTCCTGCATGAATTTTGTATAAAAAAACAACCGTCTGAATTCCGGCGGTTGCTATATTCTTCACAAAATGCCTTATAATACTCTTCCCAGGACTTATTTTCCAACAACTTTCTAAAGTCTTTCCTAAACTGACTGACTGACTGACGGCACAAAGTGGCTTAACGAAAACATTAATATATAAAATTCATGAAAATTCATAACGTATATCACGTTAAACGTTTGTAAATCTTGAGGGTAGAAATGAGGTTAGAAAAGTGGTTAGAAAACGTGTTAGATCTAACCATCTACCCTAAACATTATTTTTGTTCATGGGCTATGCCCCGCCGCTTTGCGTCTTTATGTTAAAATAAATGGTACCATTAATGATATCATGACTGTTCTCGTTCATGTCTGATTTACATCTAATGAAAAAGTTTAGAAGAATTTTCTTATTCTTTCTGGCATATTTTTGTCTTTCCAGTACTCCCGCTCTAATGGACCCAGATGTGTTGGCTTCGACTCTCTCAAGTTCTTAGATGGTATAACATCTTCAACGCCTCCTTCATAAGTCATGACAAAGCATATACGATGAAGTCATGACAAAGCATATACGATGAAATCATGACAAAACATTAACGTAAACATTTATTTCCGGGCTTGTTGTCAAAATGTCATGTTGTCTCATTTTTTCAGAGAAGTTAATTAACATGGTAGCACATGGTAACATGGTAGCACCTTCAGTTATTCAAAAATAATTCATAAATACCTTCCTCCTGTGTTGTTGTCAAAATGTCATGTTGTCTCATTTTTTCAGAGAAGTTAATTAACATGGTAGCACATGGTAACATGGTAGCACCTTCAGTTATTCAAAAATAATTCATAAATACCTTCCTCCTGTGTTGTTGTCAAAATGTCATGTTGTCTCATTTTTTCAGAGAAGTTAATTAACATGGTAGCACATGGTAACATGGTAGCACCTTCAGTTATTCAAAATAATTCATAAATACCTTCCTCCTGTGTTGTTGTCAAAATGTCATGTTGTCTCATTTTTTCAGAGAAGTTAATTAACATGGTAGCACATGGTAACATGGTAGCACCTTCAGTTATTCAAAAATAATTCATTATTGAATAACCTAAAAACCATTAACGTAAACATTATTTTTGGGTTATTTACACTCATTACGAAGAAGTCTTGACAAAACATATACGATAAAATACCTTCCTCCTGTGTTGTTGTCAAAATGTCATGTTGTCTCATTTTTTCAGAGAAGTTAATTAACCTGGTAGCACATGGTAACATGGTAGCACCTTCAGTTATTCAAAAATAATTAATTATTGAATAACCTGAAAACCATTAACGATAAAATAACTGATAACAAATTTTTATTTTTATCATAAATGGATACCCCACAAGCTCAAAATTTACCACGAATCATAACAAGGGAGGAAATGATAAAAATGATGCGAGAACTTGCTAAAAATAACAAACCACTAAAACTGAGAAAATGTGGTTATGCAGTAATGATGGAAAGAGAGATGTTGTCAAAGAAAAATAAACATTAAATTTGGATAGAGTTTAAAAATTCATCTTTATTAAATTCATCTCTTCCAATCAATTTATTTATTCTATTAAATTCTTTTATTTTTGTTTCACTCAGTTTAAGGATTGAACGGTAAGTTTCTAATTTTTCGATTATTTCTTTCCTCTCTTCATCGTTTTCAGTTCCATTAGTTTTATGGGCATCAACCCCACCACATTGTGGCTTCTTTTTGTAATAGCATATTTTTGATTTAATTCTGTTTAGTTTCTTTTTATATTCATCGTCTGGACTCTTGGCTGCTTCGTTGTCACTCATTTCTTACGAAATAAAAAAATTAAATATTATTTAAATATAATGGAGTAATAAAATAAATCGGAATTTCTATTAATTTATTGTCAACTTCAACTAATGCATTACCGTTAATATATCTAACAAATTCAGCTATTGTGTCAAATCTTCGTCTTCTTTTTGTCATTGATTTATCAGTTTTTCCATAATCGAGATGAATCAAAACTTTATCCCCTTGTTTAAAATTCATGAGCCCCGAATTAATTTGTTCACGTTTAACATCATTCAACCTTTCCATTTGCTTTCTAATATATTCCCATTCTTTTGAAATATCATTTTTCATTTCCACTGGTTTCATGTTTATAGTTCTATGCCATGTATTATTGTAATAATATACTAACTGCTGTATGATGGAGTCATGATTTCCATCCCAGTATATCTGACCGTTAACCCCTAACGCATCTCTAAGAGTTCTCATTACCGCATCAACTATTTTATTATGAAACGTATATGGAGAGGATGAAAAGAAAAAATTAATTTGTGGGAAATAATGAGTCATAGTTGCCTGAAATTCTTTATCACCATCACCCCTATATTATCTACTCTTTCATGATCTAGTAAGTATTGAATAGCTCTTCTTGTTTCCTGTTCTGTTTTCCCTTTCACCGGAATGCAATTATAATATCTAGTGTTAATGTTAATGGCAAATAAATAAGTAACGTTTCCTTTTGAATATTCCAGATGATCGATTTCGTATGAATATGGATATGGTGCAAATGAAGGGCGACTAAATTTTTCCTTTAACGGTTGAATTTTCGGGTCAATTGGTTTATTTAATATCTTGAAACCCTTTTTAAAATCTTTTTGTTTCTTTAATGTTTGAAATGGATATAATAAAGTGAATGATGAAGGATTAACTGAAGGAGGAGGCGGTACTGTCGTTGGAGGTTTTGGTGTTGCAAGTGGTTTAATTTTATCTGCTTTGATTTTGGATGATGAAGTTTTGGAATTCATTCCCCCTTCATTAATTCTGGATGTATTCTATTCATTTGTTTTAAATATGCTGTATATAAAGGTTTGATATACTTTCCCGCTTCGAGTTTATGTTGAAGGATGAATTCCAAAAGTTGATCTTCATTTAAAAGTCGGGCTGAATATGGTTTAACTAATGAATCATAAATTAAAGCTTGTGCATCATTTATGGTCTGAAGAACCTGGGCGTTTTGTTTCTTTTGTTTTTGTTCCTTTGGCTTTGGTTCTTGTGGCTCAGGATTATATAAATTATATAATTCATCAATATCTTCTTCTGTTAATACTTTATTTTTGAAATCTTTCAACTGTTTAAGTTGTGATTTAGTTTTTCCCTTTGTATATTCATTATTTTTAATTTTGTCTTTAATTTTAGAAATTATTCTATCATGATATTTCAAAATTTCATTTTTATAATATGGATAATAATATTCCATATCATCACCCATTATAGTGTTATCATATTCTTGGAGATATGATTTTAATTCATAATAACTAAGAAAATTTTGATTAAATATTAAATCATCAATTAAAATTTTTAAATCTGTGTTATTCATTTATATAAAAATAAAATAAATGTTTAAGGGTGCCCACCTCTTTGAATCATAGTATCAAAACCATCATTAACGGTTCCTTTTGTCTCTTCTGTGGTATTTCATTAAAAATAAAATATTTATTGTATTAAATAAATGGCATACAACATCCATTTTCACAACATACAGCCTTAGTGTGTGCCCCTGTTAATGCAGTCTTACCAACTGTTAAGCGAGTCATTGACCCGTTTTTAAGTTGTAAATTAATATTCTGACCATCAAATATCACTTTATCATTTATTATATCCAAATAATTTTTAGGTGTTAATTGTTTATTTTGTCGTAAACTAACACCCTTCATTTTTTGTGCAATCTTTTTAAAATCACCCCCATCAATTGAACCGTTGAATGATGTATAACACTTAGGACATAAAGCAACCATGTTATCACCTTGTTTCTCAATTGCTAAACCCAATAACTTCTTCTTATGTGCTTTTTCTTCAGCTTTATTCTTTAATTTAGGTTTAAATTTCTCATCAAAACAAAAGAAATCAAAAGGTGCGAATTTGAAAATGTTTTTATCATAAAATTGTTTATCGGTAACAATTGCTTGAAATGCTTGAGTGTTAGGAAGATTTGGGTCGCCAGCGATTGCCCAATAAGATGAATCAGTATCACCTTCAATGAAATGAAAACGATTAACATTCATGCATTTATACATAAAATCATAAATGAAAACTAAATACCAGTATTTTGCGTTATCTAAAGTGAAGAATGCCTCTTGTAAACATGTATCACATCTATAAAATCTATCTTTAAGCATCACTTGATATGTATCCTCACCTATTTCTCTTATGTTTTTAAACTTATTTGACATACATGCAACGCGTGACTTCTGTGCATTCATTATTTTAGTCTTTGCGTAATTTTGTGTATTCATTGCATCGTAACCATATGATCCATCAAGTGAAATTTTGCAAAATAAACTTTTTCCTTTATTTCCTTCTAATTCAGCCTTTTGTCTTTCGTTCATAAATTTGTTCGCAAATTCATTAAAACAAGTGTTTTTCGTAAATGTTAAAATTGATTGAATATCATCGATGATAAAATTAAACCTGTCGATTAGATACCATAGATAATAAGAAGAAAATGGTTGATATTGGTTGTGTGTTGATGCTAACTAAGTTAATTTCCTCTGTTTCTGGTCAACTGGTAGATTGTTTGATTTCATGTAATTATACATAAAACTGCCAATTGTTTTTTCATCTGTGATAATATCTAAGTTTCTTATTATCGGTAAAAAGTTTATGTAATCATTAATGTATTTTTCATCAATGTGACCCTTTACTTCAGCCACGAATAAAGTATTTTTCTTCTTAATTATTCCCAGTGCTTTTGCTTTCTTTGTTGCTGTATCACAAATGATAACACCATTCAATCTTCCCGGCATATACATTTTATGGTCAGTATATTGAATGAAATCATGAGGATTAGATGAAAATGATGAAGGATATAATGAATTAAAGTCAACTCCAACGAAATGAGTCATAATGTTGGTGGTGTTCTCATTTGATACAGTTTTAGTTTCTGGACTATATGAAAGTTTATTAATGTGCGTGATTCCTTTAAGATTTACTCTATGTTGAACATTTGATAGACCACCAGTAATTCCATTACGGAGAATGTGATAAGCTTCAACTGAATCTAAAGTCATTGGTAAATTATTTTTTAATGTGTAATTTCTTAAATTGATTCTTAAACGTTGAACATCTTCATCTTTATTTGATTTTACGACATTGCAATAACAACACATTAACTGACAATTTTCTTTGGTATGTGGTTTTTCATTATCGATTCTATCCAATGTTGGTTTATTTGCATATGTAAACGCTTTACCACACATTTTACATTTAGATGAAAGGATTAAATCGTGATAGTATTGAAAATCATCCATTGAAACATTATTTTTAGTATACCTTTCTGCTTTTTCATCTTGTTTCTTATATGATTCAATTTTATATTTCCAATACTTTTTCGTTAATTCAAAACTTGATTCTATCTCTTCCTCAGGATATTTTTCATTAGGATTAAAGTCTTTATATGCTAAAGCGTAACGAATCATTGAAGCATTCGATGATAAAGAAAGATTATGAAGCATGTCAATTTTATAAACAAATGTTTCTTCGATAATTTTATCAATTGGTTCTATCATAATTTCAACATCTTTATTGCAATAATGAATAAAATATTCTAATCTATTCTTAAAATTTTTAGCATCATTGAGATATATTTGATAATCACTATCTGATATAGTTTCTTGAGTTAATGCTGAATAAAATGAATCTTGAGTGAATGGTTCCACTTTATATAATTCTTCTTCGTAATTCTCCCACGTGATGAATTGATAAGGGAAAAAGGATTTAACACGTGTTTTATTATTTCCGAAATCTTGAGTGAATTGGTCTAATGTTCCACCCGCTATATAATTTCTGATGTCAATAAATCTCAATTCATATGGAACGTTTGTTTTCTTTACAATGATTTGCTTAAATTGTGAAGATGAACCCAGCATTGATTTTATTTTCCATTTTGCAGTGTTTAAATCACGAAGAATTAAATTTAAATCAAACTTTCCCGAATTAAAACCTATGATATTCACTTTATTGAATTCCTCATCTAGAAGTTCTTTAAATGCTTCCTTCTGTTTTTCATTTAATGTATGGGACAAAGTCCTCGCCGTTTGCGGCTTCAATAATTCTTCATATTGTTCAATATTTGATTTAGCAACTAATGAACAGGTTGAAAATAAAAATTCAATCCAGTCAGAAATAAAAGAATCACTCGAAGTTAAGCAAAAATTCCTCGTATATGTTTTATCGTTTAATTTAACCGTTGATGATACCATGAATGGTTTTAAGTAAGCATTCAAAGTTGCACACTCAGAAAGTTGTAATTCTTCTTTAGTCTCTAATGTTTCAAAGTCAAAAGTAATATAATATCTTGTCGGTTTATAATATTTCTGCAAATTGTGAGCTAATAACCACTGATATATCTTCTGTTTCGTAATATGTGGTGCATATGGTTGCTGGGTCTTTTGCAATTGAACGTCTTGAATTAATCTTCCATTATTTTCTTTACATTTCTCACAATGCTTTAAAAATCTTCTTTGGTTTTTCCTTTCTGGATCATCACGGATAGAATAAACTTCTTCTTTACAATATGGACAAACTTTATAGCCGGTGAGTGCTTCAACGTCTGTTATTCTGTCAGCGTGAAGTTTTCCACATGGACTCTGTGTTAATAAAATATTTACTGTTTCAAATTCTGGATCTATCATTATTGAATCCACTAATGGAAAGTCTACCTTATTTATGTCCACGTCTTCTGGTTGAGGATCACAATAATAGAAATCAATATTAACATTTAACATTCTCGCTAATCTCTCACTTTCTGATGAAATGTCAAACCCTTCATATGCATCTATTGCTTCATTTAAATAGCTTCTACGAGTTTTAGGATTAACACCATCAGGAATGTTATAGAAGCGTTTAAATAACCTTCTACCTTCTGCTCTAATTTGATTATCATTCATTTTAGCTGTTCCGTTTTTGTTCATTTATGTAAGAATAAAAAATTAAAAAATAAATAAAAATAAAGTTTATTTTTTAAAGCCCATAAAATGAATTAAGAACACATAAATTTTTATCATCTGCGACGTGACGAATACATTTTAATTTACTCAAGAATGCATATCCTGACACATTAAATCTAATTCCTGTCTTATTTAATTTCACAACTTTGAAAAGGAATGTATGAATAGCTATAAAATGATGAGAAGATGTTTTATGGGTTGCTTCCATTTTTTCTGAAATAAATGAATAAATATAATGTTTATACGTTTTCATATCTTTTATGTTCTTAATAACGAATGGTATAGACCTTTCCACTTCATCTTCCTTCGGTGCTGTTCTTTCATATGAAACATTATTAGTATCTTCAACAATGAAACCGCAATCACACAAAATTTTATATGTTCCAATGGTTTCTTTTGATATTTTATCTAATAAATCAAAAACTTTATCAACACCCGTGCATTTATTTAAATAATAATTTGTGTAAATATCATGATCTTCTTTCTTAATCGTATTAGTTGCATATGTCACGTTTTTAAGAGCTTTTTTGAATTTCTCAGAATCGAGAGGGGGGTGAAAGTAAGATACAAGGGTATTTTTCATTATCAATAAATTGTAACTTATGTTTACGTATAAATTTAGTACCTTCTTCTGAAAGTGTTTCATCTATTTCGCCATCTAATAAATTTTGTGTTGATTCTGAGACATAATTTTTATATCTTTCTTCATGAGATTTCTGAACTTCTGATTCTGAAGCTGGGATATTCATTAAACCCTCTACTTCATTTTCATTATATTTTTCAACTTCTCTTAATTCCTTAATTTTTTCATCTATTTCATCTCTTATTTTTTCCAGTCTTTCAATTTCATTGTATTCATCATCTTTAATTCGTTCTTCATAATATTCAGGGAAAACATCAGGTTCTTTAGGTTTTTCTTCTTTAGATGTGGGATATAAGAAATTTATAACATCATCTTTATTCATTTTTCCATCATAATCAAACTCATTTAAAAACTCCGCGAATTTTTGACAATTTCTTAAATAATATTTATCAACCTCATAACCCGCCTCCTCTAATATATCCTTTATTTCCTCATTTGTGAATCCCAATTTTTTAACGTCGTTAGTCTTGACGCTCATTTCATACAAAATAAAAAATAAATTATTCAAAAATGTAAGACATGAATTTTTAAAGTTTATTTTTTAAAAAAATTATTTTTTATTTCATTATGGTAGTGAATCTTTCATTCATGAAAATAATTATTTCTAATTTCTTTTATTCTCTCGTACATACTAGATTTAAAGAATTCAGAACATTTCCCATAATCTCCTAAATGTTTTCTTATCCCTAACGTGTGCCAGTTATTATATGAAACTGAATAAACTTTATCTTTATCTTTACACCTTTCATCACTTCCAATATATTTATATCTCAGTTTTGATTTAGCATTTTCATATTCATTAGCGTTTAATAATTCACAGTCTTCCTTTTTAAATATATGTTTAAGATATTCAGGATTTAATACTCTACGTTTATATGCTCCTAACTTAGTTCTAAAGGTTTTTCTACAAAATTTAGGAATTCCATCCTCTTTAATGTCATCAATGATTTCCATTTCATTATTTTCAATTTCTTCTTCTCGTTTATGAGGTCTTTGATTATGACTCCATTGATTCCATGAAATTAAATATTCTTTATCATTATATTTATACCTCATTAGCTTATTTTGGCTTTCATATTCATTTAATAATTCACAATCTTCATTTTTAAATTGAAGTTTAACCCATTCAGGATTTAAACAATGTTTAATTAATCGCGGAATATCTGACATCATCTATATATAGCTTCTTTTATAAAAGATAAAAAAATAAATTATTTTAAAATTAATGTTAATTTTTTAAAATGTGTTTAGTATATAATATTTATTACTAATTTATTTAATAATGTCGCGCTTTCTTACGAATTCATGACTTAAAAAACGTAAGAAAAAATTTTTATATCATCTATATATAGAAGATGTGAAAATATACCTTCATCTATATATAGACGTAACAAAAAAAGTCACACAACCCTTCCTATCCTACTACTACATTTTGAAATTAATTTTACTCTTCATAATCAAATATTTTCTTGCAATTCTCATTTACAATTAGGATATTATTAAAAATCTTACTCTCTCATATTCGAAATCTTCATAATGATTGAAGGTGAAACTGATGAATTTGAGATTCATTTTTCGTGGCTAAAAACAGTAGTAAAACGAATAGATAGCTATGAAAGTGAAGAGACACGTCTTCCATTATTATCACTAGAATTTTGCGCACCAATTCGAAAATTTGAACATCAAAAATATCCAAATAACGAAATTACACAAAATGATATCAAAACAGCATTACCATATGCTATAATAATCAATGCAATATCAGAATCTCAAGTAGAATACAAAGATCCGGAAATAACGTTCACATCAATAATAGATTTACTATCAAAAATGGGATATAAGCCATCATCTGACTGTATACCGCAAGAATTAGCTAATGAAAACTTAACACACCATACTGCGCTTTGTTTAGTGCTAGAATGGCTAATTGTTGATAAATCTTTAACAATAGATGATATTTGTAAAGATCTTCAACGCTTACCTCGCTCCTACTTTATACTAGAACATCGACCTACTATGCTTGATGAAGCAGTTTTGCTTTGGCTTTCAAAATTTTCAACAATACAAAATTTACCTCCGTGCAAAGATTTATCAACGAATTTACTTAATGGGCAGCATATGGCAGCTGTTCTTTCACGTGTTTTCCCGCAACTAATTAATCAAAAAGAAATTCAAATTGGAGAAAATTTAAATGAAGACCAAATCAACAAAAATTGGGATTTAATACATAAAGTAACAGATTCATTGAATGCATTTGTTCCTCCAAGAAGAAAACTCAGTCAGCAGCTTTTATACACTTTCATCGCAGATATTTTTTCATCAACTCGTCCTGCAGCTAAAAAATTTGTTAAACTTGATCAGCCGAAGCCAATAGAGTTACTTCCAATGCCTGTAAGCCAAGAACCACCAAAACAATTAGTTCAGCAACTTCCAAAACAATACATTCCTTATGTTGCTCCAATTAAACCTCCCGAGAAACCAAAACCAGCCAAAAAAGAAACAAAACCTAAACAAAAATCCGAGAAAAAACAAACTGAAAAAGAAGAAAATACGAAATCAAAAGATCAAACAAAAGAAAAAGAACAAAAAACCAATGAAACAAAGCCTGAACAATCAAATGAATCAACAAAAGAAAACGTAGAAAAAACAGAAGAAGAAAACAAAGCAATGAAAGATGAAAATTTAGATGTTTCAAAAGTGAATGAAAATAAAGATCTTAATGGAAAAACAGAAGAAGAAAACAAAGCAAAGAAAGGTGAAAATTTAGATGTTTCAAAAGAGAATGAGACCAAAGATCTTAATGGAAAAACAGAAGAAGAAAACAAAGATAAAGATGTCAATGAAACTCAAGAAGAAAACAAAGATAAGGAAGTTAATGAAACAAAGGGAGAAAATAAGGAAAAAGTTGAAAAACAAGAAATTCCAATTGAAAATGAAAGCCAAGATGATAAAAAAGAAACAGAAAACAACGAAGTAGAACTTGTTAAAGAAAGAGATATTTCTGATGAAGAAAATGACAAAAACAAAGAAACAGAGAAAACAAATGAACTCAAGGAAGAAAGCATAAAAGAAGTTGGATTAAGTTTATCAAGTAAATCATCAAAGAGTAGTGAAAATGGACTCACACAATTACAAGAAGAATCTTTACATGAATCAAATTCATCAAATAAAAGCAAATCAAGTCATTCTAAGAAATCAAACAAATCAGATCATTTAAGTTCTTCTTCTCTCAACCAAGTGATTGTTCTATCAGATACAGATCAAAAAGAGAATGAAGACAAAATGAAATACAAAGCATCAGCTGTTAAACGCTCTGACTTTAATTCAGAACCAGATAAACATGCTCCTTTATCTGTTTCTAGCCAAATTTCTGCAAAAACAAATGACGATGGATTCTTAAGAAGAGAAAGCTGCCGCAAAACTGATAACTCAATAGAAAGTATTGATTCAGAACCACATGTTAATGATCCAAGCGAATCTAAGAAATCATATTCGAGTAGATCTCGCCATAAACATAGAAAACCATCACATACAAGTAATATTTCATCATCAGATCATAACCAATACTCCAAATTCGAATCAAACACAAGTGATACAATGAAATCAGATTATTCGAAGAATGATGAGCTAAAATCAGAGCATTTTTCAATATCAACTGGTAGCAAGTCGCAATCACATCATTCTTCATCGAAGTCCAGCCGAAATTTGAGTTCAGAAATTGAATCAAATTTAAACTCACAAAGTTTGAAGTCAGAAGCGAAAAATATTGCAAGAGCAGCACAAAGACTTGCACTAGAGGCAAGCAGACTTAAAATATCTCAAGCAGCCGAAACTTTATCGAAATCTCAACAAAAACCACCAGAAGAAAACAAAACTCAGTATCAAACAATGTATCAACCACCACAACCTCCTCCACAATATCCGAATCCATATCCAAATCCTTATTTCACCGCTCAAATGCCAAATCCTTACATGAACACAGGATATCCCCCGTTCTATGGTGTTCCTCCCCCTCAATTTATGCCTCCTTTCCAACAAAGTTATTCACAACCATATTTCACACAAAATACTCCACAACAGATACTTACAAGGACCAGTTCTCAGCCAAATTTCGAGAGAACGAACAAAGAATCACAAGAAATGACTCTTTGTCTTGGAGAATTAGACGAAGATGATTCCGCAGCGATGGCTGATGCTTTGAGGTATTTCTATTCACTGCCTCCTAGCAGACAAAACGCAGAAACACTCAGGAAATCTGTTAGAATGCAGTATGGAAAATATGCAAATGAAAACAAAGTTAAAAATGTTGAAAACACTTTACTTTCCATTTTGAAGAGGGTTGTTTCAAGAGATGATTCTATTCCTAGGATGCTGATGGAGATATCATCAAATATATTTGGTGATGGTAACACAAAAACAACAAAAGCAGTGCAAACTTCTGAAGTTGAACCTGATTTGAATTCATCTGATACAAAGAAGAAAAAGAAGAATAAAAAGCATCACCATGACTCATCATCTGATATAAGATTAAGCAAAAGTAGTGATTCTGATGAATATTCTACTGATTATTCAAAACATCGAACAAAAACTGTTAAGAAAGACAGTGATAGTAGCAACAAATATTCTGAATATTCAGATATTAGTCATGCAAGCAGGAGAAAAGCAGATGTCTCTGAAAATTCAGAAAGAAAATCTAAAAAAAGCAAAACCAAAAGTCAAACAGACAAAGATCAAAAAGTAAAGAGTAATGATGAATTGTCAGACAAACATAGTGAAGATTTCCAAGAAAAATCAAGATATGTTGAAATCAAACCAAATATATCAGAGAATTTAACTCAGAAAACGGAAAAAGAAGAGAAGGGCAGTTCTCATGACCCAAAGGAAGATACAGGACCTCAAAAAATGGAAGTTGTTAAAGAAGATATGATGATTCAAAATACTTCACCGACAAACACAGCTGAAACACAAACATTAGTTGCTGCAATACATAGAGATCGCACATTAAGGATGGATGACACAGAAGATCTCTTTGATGTTCCTCCAAGAAAATCATTTAGTGAAATTCCAGGAAAAGTTGAAATAAATTCCTTCAAATTCAATGATTTCACTAAAGAAGAGAAGCGTCAAATACAAGCTCGCAACACAACCATCATGCCTAACCTTGGCGTTATAAAACTTGCTTTGACATTTAATTTACTTCCTTGTGAAAGAAATGATTCAAGAAGAGATGACTTAATTGCAGCTTTATCAGGTTTTCCTTCAGATAGAATTATTCTTTTGATGTCTTCAATCAACATGAAATACAAAGGATCTTATATTCTTGATGAGAATTGCACTAAATGCGTTAGATTTCATGGCCAAGGTCCAAGCGTGATTCATTGTAAAGATGTTGGAGTTTTCTTCAAATTTAATACGTCAACAAAGAAATTTGATAAGTTGGATACATTCCATTACACACAAACAACAGATGCTATTGTTCTGAAAAGAGATTTAGAACCACAATCGTGGTAAAATATTATGTTTTTTGTTATGAATTAAAAATTTTTATGTAATTTGCATATCTTTTAATTATACAGATCCAAGAACAGATAATATCATAATATTGTATTAATTATCGATAATTATAAAAATATTTATAATTATTTCTAAAGGAAATCGAACAACTACCATTTAAAAAGTATACTTATTAGGATGTGAATATAATTATATATGTGAAATCAAGATGATTATATCAGTACAAAAAACGGTGGCCACTCAATAAACAATAAAAAAAAAAGAAAAAAAAATGGTTTTTGAAATCGCAACTTTTGGTTGGATTGTCGGAAGTATCCTTTCTTCAACTGTTATTATCATCACAAACAAGCATGTCATGGATAATTTTGGTTTTACATCCATTACATTACTTACAGCGTATCATTTCTTTTTGACATGGGGTCTTCTTGAAGTTATGTGCAGATTAGGAGCATTCGAGCGTGGTACATCAATGCCAGCATTTGAAAAATGGAAAATGGGCTCAATTGGTGTTGGCGCCGTCGTTTTCATGAATTTCAACCTTCAATTAAACTCAGTCGGATTCTATCAGCTTTCTAAGCTTTGCTGCATTCCATTTATGGTTGTTTATGACTACCTTGTCCAAGGAAAAACAACAAGTTTCCCAATTCTTCTTTCTCTTGGCATCCTCCTTGTTGGTATTGGCATTTTCTCAATCAATGATATCCAGTTCAACATACTTGGCTCCATTATTGCCTTTATTGCTGTTTGCTGCGTTTCATTGTTCCAAATCTACACAGGATCCAAACAAAAAGAGTTCACTCTTAGCCCACTCCAGCTTCAGCATACAACTGCCTACCCACAGTTCGTTGTTGCTTTGATTGTTGGCTTCCTTCTCGAATCTTGGGGTCCAAACGCCATTTTCAACCAAGATCTTACCATCAGAACAATTCCTGTCATCCTCTCCACAGGCCTCATCGCCGTTTCCGTTAATATCTGCTCATTCTTCCTTATTGGCAAAACATCAGCAATTACTTACCAAGTTTGCGGCCACATGAAGTCCATCCTCATCTTCATCTTCGGCATCCTTTTCTTTAGAAACCAAAACGAAACAAGAGAACAATTCATCAAAAAGATTATCGGACTTTGTGTCTCAATGTTTGGCTGCATCTGGTACACATACCTCAAACTTACAGCTGCTCCGCCAGCTCCTTCAAAGAATGACAAAGATAACGATCAAGAAGGACTTCTCGCTGCAAAGAGCCAGGCTGAAATCAACAGCAATGGTTCTGAAGAGACAAAGAACTAATACAACTATCTTATATTTTGTTTTATATACATACAAAAAAAATTCATAAATAATTTTATTTCTTTTCTATATAATTCTGGTTTTTATAGGATATATACACCATTTGACTTTGAAATAAGCTAAATAATCCATCGAAATCTTAAAATTATTTTTGCCATTTTTTAATTTTTGGGTGTTAACGTGGATAACTGTTATCATTAATTTTATCATATCCATGGCATTTCAATTTCAAGATCATGAAGCTTTATTTTGTTTTGTAATCAACGTTGAAAAAATCAATTGAGACTAACGTTTAATATCTCTTATTAAAATAGATTAGACTAGAGACAATTTCTAATTTCCGATACTCAAAACATATCAAAACCGAAAAACAAAAAAATAAAAAAATATTAAATCTAAGGAAATGAAGATTTTATCATAAATTAAAATAAATTTTATTATTTCGAGTATTTTAATTAAACAAGTACATTAGATTTATGATTATTCAACAGCGCCTTAACATCGAGATAAGGGAATGGATCCTGATATGATGGTGGCTCAGGTTCTTCTTCGTAATCTTCGTCATCCAAATCGCATGGCTGAGGAAAACCGTATCTATCAGTCAAAATAGAGGGCAAGAATGAAACAAAGCATACAGGTGAAGAGCTAGTTCTCTTTCTTACACACCATTGACGGCTATTGCAGAGCTGAGCTTCAACTCCTGGAAGAATGGTTGTGAAGAATCCTGAAACATCTTGTTCTTTTCTATTCATTTGATAGCCTAACTTCTGAAGGCATCCATTAACACATGATTTTGAACGCCACATGAGCCTTTTCAGGCGTTTTGTATTAACAATTATGAAACCTCTGCCGAACTCTATGCCGCAAACAAAACCTCTATAAATATCGAAGCAGTCCTTTTGATTAATAAATTGATGAACTTTGATTAAGTGCGTTATGAAGGTATCCATACCATGATTTCGCTTATTTTTTTCGTCACATGATTGGAAATATTGGTATAACTGTAAATATTCGCGCTGATCTTGCAATGAAAAGCGTCCAATGAGTGGGTCTTTCTTTATTAAATGGTTTAGCGTCGGGTCATCGATCATTAATTTTTTTAGTAAAATTTATAGTAAACTTCACAATTATATCTTATTTAAATTATTCCTATTTAAAACGATTGACGAAAACTAATGGTTTATATTCGACCGATTTTGGAAATTGTAAAAACTCACAAATTTTGAAAGAGATACGATATGCACAATAAATTTATATTCGAACAATCTTAAAATTTTTTGATGGAAGATTAGTACACACATGATTTTACAGGGGGTAGGACACTTGGGAGAAATTGACACTTGTTATAGACCGAAAATAGATTTTTTCGGTTTTCTCTTCAAATAATTGAAAGAATGATACTATTGTAGGTTTATTATATTATATAGCATATAATCATGCTATAGCCGAAAATTATAAGTTTTGAGAAGATTGAATATAACACAAATAAATTTGAATGTAAGTTAAATTGCTTGTTGTTTTTAATAGCTATTTAATGAGAAATCCAATATTGCAAAATTCAAATTGAATGATTGAAAGAACAGAAAAAGTCATTCTTTTCAATTTCGAATATGTTTCATTGTATTTATAATTATATGGCAAATAAGATATTTAAACTTGATTTTTGAAGGAAAATTCACAAAATTGAATAAATTCAAATAATTTTTATTCAAAAATAAACTAGTTATTTGAGTTTAATACTAATTATCAATTAAAACTACAAAGTTTGTAATTTAAAATATTTTGTGAGATCAGATTGAATTAATTCAAGGTTCTTTTCAATTAATATTAATGACCATATTACGCATTTTCGAACATTCTAAACCAAATATATAAAAATGGGAGACGAATGTTAAATTTGCTAGACATGGGGGAGTTGTTTACCGAGTTTTAGCTCTTATCTCTAACAAAAAATTAATTTTTAAAAAAATGACCGAATACGTTTCACAGCGAGAAAAAAATAAAAGGCAAGATAGAATTTTCTAGACATAAAGAAGTTGTTTACCGAGTTTTAGCTCTTATCTCTAACAAAAAATTAATTTTTAAAAAAATGACCGAATACGTTTCACAGCGAGAAAAAAATAAAAGGCAAGATAGAATTTTCTAGACATAAAGAAGTTGTTTACCGAGTTTTAGCTCTTATCTCTAACAAAAAATTAATTTTTAAAAAAATGACCGAATACGTTTCACAGCGAGAAAAAAATAAAAGGCAAGATAGAATTTTCTAGACATAAAGAAGTTGTTTACCGAGTTTTAGCTCTTATCTCTAACAAAAAATTAATTTTTAAAAAAATGACCGAATACGTTTCACAGCGAGAAAAAAATAAAAATGTACACTGATTTTCATTTTCATTTCCAGTCACTTTACTTATTATTTTTTCTATTTTTCATTTTAATTATAAATTATTTCATAATACGTTTATTTACGTTACCATTTTCTTTATTCTTTTGAATTCCATACTAGACACTTATAGAATATTTTGATTGTTAACGTACTTCATTAGAATGAATCCTTACAAAGGGTATGTCGATCGAATTTACCTAATTGGTATTTCCAATCAGATTGAAGAAGGTAAAATGACATGGGAAGAAGCTTGCACCCATGTTCCCATCGCCCCAACCCTTCAATCAAATGATTTCAAATATTTAGATGTTTCAAAATCTTTTTTACAAAATTAATTTAGCTTACAGAATATCCCATTGCCTAAAGGCAAGAAAGGTCGTAGGGTCAATCCCTACGACCAAATCAAAGCTCTTGCTGTGATACATGACCACTGGGCCTTTCCCTGTGGTCAAACAAAACAATGGAAACGTTTGAAATTACAACAAATTGATGTATCTTATAGAGAAGTATGCAGATACTTCAAAGAAAATCATTTCACCAAGACGCGATTAGAGCATGCCGGGCCAGAAACAGCAGTAAGATATTGGGCGCTTTCACCCAATCTTATCTGGCACGCAGATGTTCATTATTTTAGGGGTGTTCGTGGCCAGTATATTTATGGCATAATCGACGATTTTAGCCGCAAAGTCCTAGCGTGTATACAAATACCAGATATGCTGGCAGCGACGACAGCGAACGTTGCGGCTTCCGCCTTCATTGAATTTGGCGCCCCTTATTGTTTCTGGACCGACAACGGTTCAGAAAATAGGGGCGCCTTTCAAGATCTACTTGATCTTTGGGGCGTCCAATGGCGGCATACAGACTCTCATTCTCCCCTACCAAAATGGGAAGATTGAGAGATTCTGGCCGACATTGGAGCGCTGCCAAAGCATTCAGGCTATTCCTGCCTTTATTTGGGAGTACAATAATAACACACCGCATGATGAAGATCTCCCAATTAATCCATTAACTGGAACAAATTACACGCCAAATCAAATGTATCAGCTGAAACCGAAATACACAAATGCAGATACAGAAAGGTTGTGGCAAATATGGGATACAGATACAGGCATGACCGCTGTTGACACATTCACAGCGTAATAATAAACATAATTTTTTAATTTCATTTTTAACAAGTTTTTTAAATGTATGTAATGAATAATTCATTAGAATATGATAATGCACATTGTAACAGAATAGAACAATCACCAGATTTTTTTTGAAATTAAAAAATAAAAGTAAAAAGTATAAAGTAATCTAACCAAAAAAGATAGTTAAAAGAATTTTGGAAAAAACAGAATAAGGATAATGATATTATTTTAGATACACAATCGATGTACTGAAGAATAATCCGGTAAAATGATGATATAAAATTAGATTATTTTACAAGTAGCTAAAAGAATAAAACTATAATATAAAATAAATGAAGTTTAATGAAACAATAAAGGTTAAATAAATAATAAAGATTTTTATTTTATCAGTATTGAGAAGAAGTAACAGCTGACACTTGGTAGACAACTTCTTTATGTCTAGAAAATTCTATCTTGCCTTTTATTTTTTTCTCGCTGTGAAACGTATTCGGTCATTTTTTAAAAATTAATTTTTTGTTAGAGATAAGAGCTAAAACTCGGTAACAACTTCTTTATGTCTAGAAAATTCTATCTTGCCTTTTATTTTTTTCTCGCTGTGAAACGTATTCGGTCATTTTTTTAAAAATTAATTTTTTGTTAGAGATAAGAGCTAAAACTCGCGTAAACAACTTCTTTATGTCTAGAAAATTCTATCTTGCCTTTTATTTTTTTCTCGCTGTGAAACGTATTCGGTCATTTTTTTAAAAATTAATTTTTTGTTAGAGATAAGAGCTAAAACTCGGTAAACAACTTCTTTATGTCTAGAAAATTCTATCTTGCCTTTTATTTTTTTCTCGCTGTGAAACGTATTCGGTCATTTTTTTAAAAATTAATTTTTGTTAGAGATAAGAGCTAAAACTCGGTAAACAACTTCTTTATGTCTAGAAAATTCTATCTTGCCTTTTATTTTTTTCTCGCTGTGAAACGTATTCGGTCATTTTTTTAAAAATTAATTTTTTGTTAGAGATAAGAGCTAAAACTCGGTAAACAACTTCTTTATGTCTAGAAAATTCTATCTTGCCTTTTATTTTTTTCTCGCTGTGAAACGTATTCGGTCATTTTTTTAAAAATTAATTTTTGTTAGAGATAAGAGCTAAAACTCGGTAAACAACTTCTTTATGTCTAGAAAATTCTATCTTGCCTTTTATTTTTTTCTCGCTGTGAAACGTATTCGGTCATTTTTTTAAAAATTAATTTTTTGTTAGAGATAAGAGCTAAAACTCGGTAAACAACTTCTTTATGTCTAGAAAATTCTATCTTGCCTTTTATTTTTTTCTCGCTGTGAAACGTATTCGGTCATTTTTTTAAAAATTAATTTTTTGTTAGAGATAAGAGCTAAAACTCGGTAAACAACTTCTTTATGTCTAGAAAATTCTATCTTGCCTTTTATTTTTTTCTCGCTGTGAAACGTATTCGGTCATTTTTTTAAAAATTAATTTTTTGTTAGAGATAAGAGCTAAAACTCGGTAAACAACTCCCCCATGTCTAGCAAATTTAACATTCGTCTCCCATTTTTATATATTTGGTTTAGAATGTTCGAAAATGCGTAATATGGTCATTAATATTAATTGAAAAGAACCTTGAATTAATTCAATCTGATCTCACAAAATATTTTAAATTACAAACTTTGTAGTTTTAATTGATAATTAGTATTAAACTCAAATAACTAGTTTATTTTTGAATAAAAATTATTTGAATTTATTCAATTTTGTGAATTTTCCTTCAAAAATCAAGTTTAAATATCTTATTTGCCATATAATTATAAATACAATGAAACATATTCGAAATTGAAAAGAATGACTTTTTCTGTTCTTTCAATCATTCAATTTGAATTTTGCAATATTGGATTTCTCATTAAATAGCTATTAAAAACAACAAGCAATTTAACTTACATTCAAATTTATTTGTGTTATATTCAATCTTCTCAAAACTTATAATTTTCGGCTATAGCATGATTATATGCTATATAATATAATAAACCTACAATAGTATCATTCTTTCAATTATTTGAAGAGAAAACCGAAAAAATCTATTTTCGGTCTATAACAGGAGAAATTGACACTCATTTGACCAAGAATGAAAATTATTGGATCAAATTGATTTATATCATATTCTAGATATATTGATTTTCTATCATTCAATTTAAATTTTGAACAAAAGTTTTTATGGGTTAAAATTGACAGTTAAAGTTAATATCGATTTATATAACTGTCTGGGCTCTCAAATAATCATCTTTTTCTAACAAAATCAAAATGTTGGTCATTTTGGCCGCAAATGATTGTTATTCGCAATGACTAGTACTAACAAGAAATAATACAGTATCGGTCACGACTTTTGAAACCAGGCCACCTTCCAAAATTGATTTCTTTTTTCGAAGGAGTATTCGCTCTCTTTACATTATAATTAAAATTGTATATAGAATGATAGGGCTTTCTATATATGCGATGTAAGGCTTTTACATTTTTTCATTAATTCAACGGTATTGGGAGGCTTAGCACAATATTTAAGAATGGCTCATTGACTATGTGATTCTATTAGAATATCTCATTATGATATGATGTTGATACCCTTCTAGTTTGAACATATTTCCCAATATTATTATTTGTTCTCCTTCTTCCTATGTTATGGATATCTAATTCTCAAGTTTTGCATAGAAATAAAGTTAAGGATTGCTTTTCGTTCAATTTTTCGGTTGAAAAAATAAATCGATTAAATATAACATGAACTTTTAAGTATTTACATAATGTAATGCTTTAATACATATAAAGTAGGTATAACTATGTTATGATTTAAATAAATGAAAGTATATATATATAATAATATTGATAATAATATTATCGAAATTGTAAACCATTAGCACTGGCAACCTTCTCTATTTTGTTCAATTGGTTTTGGCTCTATTGGAAGAACGTAAACTTGAGGAATTTTTGTAACATCTGGAGCTAATTCGCTGATTAATTTGAATAATCTTGCTACTCCAGAAGAAGTTTTTGCGGAAGTTTCAATTGTCTGCATTTGGCGTGGTTTTGCGAAATCATCAACATGTTTTAAGTCAACTCTTCTTTCTAAGTCAATTTTATTACCTACAAGGACGCATTTAGCTTCATTACCTCTTTCGTGCATTACTGTTTCATACCATTCCTGTGCCTCATCGAATGATTTCTCATCTGAGACGTCGTAAACGATAACAGCAACTGAAGAGTCTCGAATATATGATGGCATAAGAGATTTGAATCTTTCTTGACCTGCTGTATCCCAAATTTGCAGAGTTACTGTTCTTCCTTGAACTTGTACTGGTTTTGTGAAGAAATCAACGCCAATTGTTGTATTATACTGATTAGAAAATTCATCTGTCATCAATCTGTTGAGGAGAGATGTTTTTCCAACACCTGCCGAACCGAGGAAAACAACTTTGCACTTTGTCGACATATTTAATCGTAAAGTTTTTTTTTTCTACTGATAAACGAGAGTTCAATTTCCATGCATAATCATTAAACAATATAAGAGTATATGTATATATTCTTATAGACATTCGGTTTCAACAATCAATGATCATTATTTTTAGTGATCAATTCAGATCTAACGATATTCATTTTAATGTATTCAATATTAGAACCATTGAATGCAATGACTTAAACGAGAAAACATAATAGTCTATATATGCATATGATCATTCATAGAAAAACCATTAAAATCATTCTGAATATCAATTTTTATGAAATATTATTCAGTATGTTCGCCTGAACTAACTTATATATCCTATAAATGCATTTTACTATATAAGAGTACAATAAATTACATTGAAAAATAATGTTTTGGAGTAGAAGATATTTGAATCACATGAAAAATATAACATATTTCAAAATTGATAAGATTTTTGTTTGTTTTAGTCCTTACATATGTCATATTTGATTCGAAAATGTAAGAAATAGTTACATATCAAGTGATTTGAACAAAAAAATAATCGTCGTAACCAAATAAAGATGTTTCTTTTCCTGGTCTACGGTTCACTTTCTACAGTTTATTTTGAAGATGAATTAGATGATGACTGGGAGCAGAGATGGGTCTATAGTAAGCATCGTCCTTCAAAAGGTGATGGTATTATGGGCCAATTTCAATTAACAGCAGGTAACTATTATGCAAATGCCGAAATCCAACGTGGTCTTCAAACAGTATCAGAAAGTGGTTATTATCAAATCACAAGTAAATTCAAAAAACCATTTAATACATCCGGAAAAACGTTTGTTGTTCAATATACAGTTAAATTTGAAGGCGGATATGAGTGCTCAGGTGCTTACATCAAATTACTTGGTAAAAATGAAAAACCATTGAAATTCAATCCAACAACACCATATCAAATCATGTTCGGTCCAGATGTATGCGAAAAGAAGCAGCATAAGTTATACTTATTCATTACCAGAAACGAAACATCTTATGATGTTCACAAATACATTGATGTTCCACATGATGAGTTAACACACTCTTATACATTGATTATCTTTGCGAACAAGACATACGAAGTCCGCATAGATGGCGAGCCAGTACTCCATGGTGAGAATATCAATACAGATTTCGAAATCGGAGGTCCGAAATACATCCCCGACCCAACAGACCTCAAACCAGAGGATTGGGATGATCGTGAGGAGATTCCAGATCCTAATGACAAGAAACCAGCCGATTGGGATGAGCGTCCAACAATTCCAGATCCAGATGCTCGACAACCATCGGATTGGCGCGAATCTATTAAAGGAAAATGGGTTCGCCCGATGATAAAGAACCCAGATTTCCTTGGAGTATGGAAACCGAAGATGATTCCAAATCCAAATTACAAAGGTGACTGGATTCCTAAACAGATTCTCAATCCAGAGTTCATAGATGATCCAAACTTCGCCGTATTCGAAGATATGGGCTTCATGGGCTTAGAAGTCTTCCAGGCGAAGCCAGGAACGATTTTTGACAACTTTTTAGTTACAGATGACCTTTCTTACGCCGAGAAGAAGCTCAGAGAGAACTTCCTTGTCCTCAGAGATGACGAGGCAGCAGCGATGAAGCGCTACCGGGGAGAAAAGAGGGCTGAAGAAGAACTCCACAAACTGAGACATAAATCGGCCGAAGAAAAGACAGATGCTGACTTCTACTCGAGTTCTGCAACGTCAAGTACATCAAGTACAGAAGATGATGGTGAAACAGATAGAAACTTCATCTTCTCTACTTCGGAATTGCCACCGCAGCCATCAATCCAGGACTTTGAATTCCCTTACAACTGCGACAACAATCCGTACTTCATGAAACAGGAAGTTTTCGCTCTAAACGTTGCATCGAAGGAGGCAAGAGATAAACTCCGCGAGAACCGTGATAAGAATCGCGCTGAGAAGGAGTTAAAGGAAGATTTCAACATGGGTGTTAAAGAAGAAACTGAGTTATAAAAAAAATAAAAAATAAAAGTGAGTTTATATTTTTTTATTATTATTATCTATAAGCGTTTTTAAAAAACCGCCGTTTGAGAGGAAAATTGAGAGCGCCGATGTATACTTTTTGACAATATCAAAAACTTTGAAAGGACAAAAATTTTTTAGTGTCAGAAAGTTTACAAATGTATACTTTCTGACGAACAGACTCTCAGAAAGTACTCAAACTGTTGGTTTTAATTTCCGCATTTTTTTTGCGACCTTATTGAGATGTGCTTTTGATGAATGAAAACTTTTACATTTATATTGAAAAGTTCGAAGTGTCTTGGAATAGTGAACATATAAAATCTCCCTCATGTTAGCCCTAAATGGTGCATTTACCACTTTTTGACATTTTCTCAATTTTTTGACAATTTCTAACTGTGAAGAGGATTTCACAGTAAATTAAACCAAATTTTTTCCATTCCTATTTAATACCAGAATATTGTTGCAAGTCATATTAAATCAGATAGGTAAAGCGCATAAGTTTTGTGCCTGTTATCTCAGAAAGTTGGAATTGCGCCCTTATTGGTTTTCATAATAAATATGTCTACAAAGTTATTCCAAATATATTGTGCATAAGTGACACATTACACCTAATACAATGTCCTGAGGTGATGACTATCAAAAGAGATCACAATACCATGAAGGATGAATACTAATTTTTGATTTTTGTTTGATACAATTTCCCAATTTTTCTAGTTTATGAGGTATATTCCCAGAAACCTCAGTGATAATGCTCATTATAATTTGTATATCCTAACAAACATGACTAATTTTTTTTAATGAACACTTGCCATTATTTTAAGAAATATATTCAATGTTGAATTGTTCATCAAATAAGCAAATTAATCCCTATATTGAAATGCTAATATTCAGTTTTGCAGAAGCTACTAAACATAATATCAGTTACCAGGTAATTAGTCTGATCTCAGAAGACTCATTTTATATATTATATTCATTTTTTAAATATTTTCACTATTGAAACCATAAATGAACATTCCACCTTGATCAGAGGATGATGTATTTGATGCTGTTGTGAAATTCATTATTCATGTATCTGTTGGATTGCCAATTGAATATGCAGCATAAGAAGTAATGTCATGATGGTAAGATGTATTCATATTGCTTACTTGGATATCTCCATGCGAATGATAAAAAGAAAACCACTCTCCTCTGCATTTCGAAACTGAACATTCAATTGCATATCTTTTATCGGTACTATCTTGAACTGATTCAATGTAATATCCGCATCCATAACTAGTGCTTGATGAAAGTAATATACAAATATGAACTAGGACGCATTCAGATTGATATATAGAATGATCCACCATTTTCTGTGGAACTGTTATTATAAAATATACATACTTCACGTAATTCCTTTCTGCTAGCAGAAATACATAATAGTATGAAAATATTGCTTGATGAATGTAACAATTACCGCTTCCTGATATAGTTTCGTTATCGGATTTTTCCTTATAATCATCTATGAAGTAATAATATTCGGAATAACTTCCTTGAAGTGCCAAAAAGAGTTGACGAATGATTGACTTTCTTGCACAGTTTGAATGCAAAATAATCGTTTTTATGCATTTTTTGCACTTGTAGGAAAACCAGAAACCAACCCCTAAAAAACATTCAATTTTCCATGAAAGTTGTATCTGCAAATATAAAATGCCTCACAGTAAATAATGTTATAATAAGTCAAAAGTCTTGTCAGATTTGCAATATCTTAATAAAGGAAAAATTGTAATTCAATTAGTAATAGATGTATTTCAAATCAAATAGAATATTAAGCAATATGTTTCAGAAAATTCATCTTTTTCATCTATATTTGCACCATGTGAAAGAAGAACTTCGACTGTTTCTTTACAATTATAAATTGATGCAAAATGAAGAGCGGTTTCTTTATCACTATCTTTTGCATTGACAGATGCACCATGTGATAGGAAATATTCACAAAGAGATGGAATAGAAAAATTCGCCGATTCAATAAAGCATTCATTAATATGATTAGTTTTATCAAAATAAACCAAAAATGTATCAAGATTTTTGTAAATTCCACAGTGTTTTAAATCGATCTTTAATTTGTATTCATTCATCAAGAATGTAACAAAATCAATGTTGTGTGAAATAATTGCATATTCCATGCACTTATAAATTGGTTTTTGATATTTCAAACATTCGCTCATGATCTCTGGATTTCCTCCTAAAAATGAAAATTTTAGACATTTTTTGGTTATTTCTGAGTTAAATTTCGTTCTTAATAACTTGAAACAATCAACAGCTCCATGATAACAACATAATTCAAGTAATGAATATCCTTTTTTAGAATCTGGATATAAATAACTTTTGAGTTTTTGATCTTTATCAAATTCATCTGTTCCAGTAAATATGATGAATCTTTCTTTGTCATTATACATAATTGCGCTGTAGATCGTATTTTGTGTATGAATATCAAGATTATCTGTTTTGATATCACTGAAACCAAAAAATTTGTCTAATATAATTCCATATTCTTTATAAAACAGGAAGTTGGAAATCTTCTCGAGACTGTCGGCCTTTTCGACATGATAATTATCAGATATGAGTTTGGCAAGATATAAATATGACTTTGCATAGCGATTATTATACGGAATGATATTTAAAATATCCTCCATAATATTTTTGGGTGAATGTTTCTTTGAATCAATCAATTCTGTTATGACATTTTTGTAAATTGTGTTTAATTCTTCTTCCTTTTCCGTTTTGAGCTGGTATAACGCATTATATGAATCGATGTAGTATTTGCTGATACTTCGCAATTGGAAGTATTGTTTAGGATTACCCTTCCTCCTCCTCGGCATGTAAAAATTTAAAAGCCATAAAATTTCCTTTTACCATACAAAACATCCTTTAAAATAATTAGAAGAAAAAAAAATGCAATGATCACAAAGATGTCGGATAAAAATTATGAATTTCAATTTAGTTCACAGATATAAAATAACATTATAAGAATAAGAAGGTCGAATGTGGTGGCCGTTTCTGGATGATAAACCCAAATTCTGTGAAAGGATCTTGGAAAAAAAAATAATCTTGTAAAAAAATCGGGCCTTCGGCGGCAGTTCTAGCCATTCAGGCGCGTCGCAACCTCCGATCATGAACAACACAAAGTTAAAGTCATCCAATATGTAATATGACCTATATTTTTCCTTTTTCTTTCTTTTCCTCCTTTTCCCTTTTACTTTTTTCTTAAGGATGTCGCGTGGGGGACATTTGGGGACTCGACCAAATAATTTTCGAACTCAGGGAGGGGCATGTAAAGCGTCAAAAATAATTTGTAAAGTGTCAAAAATAATACATGACTGGTTCTGATAAAAATTTGTAACTGGAATTAATTTAATATTTTGTCTAATAAATGGATGGTTCTTTAATCATGACATAGATTGTTGATTTGTAAAATATTGTAAATTTTTGTAAACTTTGTAAATGACTCATCCCTTCGAGCAAATCGAGAAACCTTGGTTCAAGAGACTGAAACCGGACACTTTGCTCGAATCAATGAGCACAAAAAGGTCACGAGTATGCCAAACCACGCTTAAACCGTCAGTTTATCCACGTTCTGCGCATCCAAAAGGAAAAAGTTTCTGGCCATTTGTAATTCCAGCACATTCTAGATGGTTCGATTTCGATAAAATCCATGAAATTGAAAAATTAGAGTTTCCTGAGCTGAAAGAATACGAAAATCAAGAAGAATATAAAAATATTCGCAACTTATGCGTTAAACTCTTCCGTTTATTCCCCACACAACCACTCAGAGTCACAACCGTTTGTCATATTCACGGTGGAAACTTTCCTTTAATTAAACGAATTCATAGGTTCTTAGCTTTATGGGGATTGATCAATTTCGAGAACTCTCTTCAAGGAGAATCAGATGTTACACCTGATGGAAAGACGCTATCTGATGAATATTCATTAATTTTCGATCAAAGATTAATTTTCCAACAAAACAACATACAGACTCATCATTTGACAATGCCATGCACTCTTTGCAAATCTGAGTGCTCTGATGGTCATTTCCTTTCTAAAAAATACCCAGGTATCGTTTTATGTCCTAAATGCTTTACAAACAGCATTGCTTTTAAGCAAATCGGTGCATCACACATTGCTTTTGAATTTAGGACTTTCAATCAGCCTCAAATGCCTCCAACAACCATTTTAAATGCCGAAATACAGAAAAGACTCGCCGATCAGCTTGAAAAAGGCATAACTGACTGGGCAATGGAGTCTAATGAGATCAACAAGGCTCCTGTTACAAATACTCAGCAGAAACCCAATACATCGCCTTTAGATTGTTTAGTTACAGCTCTTAGATTCAAAGAAGGTGATTTTACTACTATGAACTCTGTAATGAGTCATGAGTTCCAACATAAGTCGGATCTCAACGAATTTTTCGAATTTAATGCAGATCCTGAGACAGAAACACCAGAAATGCCAGCAATGGATGAAAAACCAAACTGGGATGAAATTGATACTGAAATTGACGAAATTACCGCTGAAACAAAGAATTCTTGTATCCAAAAGTCTAAAAATGCTTAATTTTCTTGTTTACATGTTGTATATTAATAAAGATGTCATTTAGAACTACAAACAATGATTTTTTATCTAATAAATTAAAAAAATTTTCTTTATTTATAAAGATTTCATCTATTCTGAATGTTATCATTGTTGATTCATCATTTAAACACATACTACAATCATATTATCATTTCCTGGCTCTTAAAACCATTGAATAAGAAAGAATAATTCATATTTATTTGTTCAAAATCTATTTCTATATTGGCATTTTAAGTCACTATTATGAGTAATTCAATTTTGCATGATATCATTTATCTTTTTTAATTCGATATTTGAATATCTCAATATGTTATTTAAAACTGAACAAAACATTCTTCAAAAGTATCAGTATTGTCAAAAGAAACCAATACATTGCTTAATATATTAAATTGTCTGGAATATTTTTTCATAATTTTTTTAATGAATGTAAAAGAATATATTTATAATGACTGATAAAAAGAAGTATTTTTCTATTAACATTTCATCTTTATTCATAAAAATTTTCTCTATATTTATTTCTTGCCTAATTTTAATTGAATCTTTGGCATTGCACCGAGCCCACCACCAAGGGTATTTCCTGTGGAGCTGCTGTCATCGTTCTTTGGCTTTGATGGAAGTGAGAAATTCATCTTTCCGCCTCCAAGAGACAAACCTCCTGGTTTTGCAGGTGCAGCAGCCGCAGAACTACCACTATCTGATGTGCCCGCAGTACCAGATGATTTTTCTGTCTCTTTGACTGTAGCATGTAAAACTGTTGGAATTGTGGCTTCTTCAATTAAACGGAGCTTGGAAGCAGGCGATATTTTGCTCCAGTATTGATTTGCTGCTGTATTTACTTCAGCTGCAGGAGCATATTTCGTAGATTTTTGTTCTGATTTTGATTGTGAAAACGCAAGCCTTTGATTTTTAACAAAAGATGGTTCTGTCATGAATGAAGGTGGAATATAATGACTTGGTTTTTGATTATTTGTCCTTGGTGAGCGTAAAACTTTTGTAAATGTAGATGGTGCGAAAGAATTTGATTTATATGTTGGAACATATGTTGAAGTTTCTTCATCATCTGATACTTGACGTTCTAATGAAACTGTGGACTTAGATTTCTGGATTGCAACTTTTGGAGTTGAAGGACGCCTGAAAAACTTCCTAATCTCATATCTGAGATCTTCCATGAACTGTGTCTGTATTAACATAATAGAAAATACTATTATTAATAGAATTAAAAGAAGATTAAAAACATCCATTTTTACACGTCACTTTTTTAAAAATCAAATTTTAGAAAGACAATATTCATAACAAATACAATAAAATTATCACAAACTTCAATACCTTTTCCCATTACCATATCAAGGAACTCATACATAATGATGAACTCTTTACTCAAAACTTTAGATCTAGAGTTAAGAACGTTATCATTGAAACCATTTGATTTCTTTCTATTATGGAGTTGCTTGTATCAGCCTTTCATTCCTGAGAGCCATTTCATCAATGATTAGATTAATCAATTTGATTCATGATAAACGCATGCGAATATTATACTTCTCCTGGTAATGAAGAATACTATATTGCCAAGCATGATAAGGTATTTAATTGCTATATATTCAATGGTGTTAATAATGGAATTTATAAAACAAAATTTCAAAAGGGAAAATATCGAATTGAGCTTTGGGGAGCGAGTGCTGGGAACACAATTGGTAGTGGATATAATTATCCCGGTGGTAAAGGCGGCTATACTCGAGGTGAGATTGAGTTGAGACAAAAAACATATTTTACTTTTTTTGTCGGTACTAAAGGAGGTAACACTACTGCAGGTTCGTCTGCTGTTGGAACTGCAGGATTCAATGGTGGAGCTCCTGGAGGGTTTGATACTAACAAAGGTGATGGCCCATCTGCTGGATCCGGAGGATCCACTGATATGAGATTTCGAAAAACTTCCACATACAGCCCTACCATTTATGATCGAATTATGGTGGCGGCTGGTGGTGGAAGTAGCGGATCATTTATACGTGCTGGCCTTGGTGGCCACGGCGGTGGAATCAACGGGACGAATGGAGCTGTTGTATCCGGTTCGCCTCTTCCCCCTGTCTCAGGTGCCACACAAACGACTGGCAACCAAGTTTACCAAGGAGGAAATGGAGAAGATGGCGAGTCAACAGGTGGGAGCGGTGGAGGAGGGTACTACGGCGGATTTGGAGGAAAAGTTTCTTATCCTGATCAATATACTTCAGGGGGAGGCGGTGGAAGTTCCTTTATTAGTGGTCATCTAGGCTGTATTGCGATGGATGATCGAGGAAGAGCTTTAGAAACCAACATTCACCCTTCTGGATTATCCTTCAAAAACACTCAAACTATTCAAGGAAATTCTGACATGCCTGCACTAAATGTAGTTGATGGATTTGAAGAACTTGGACATGTAGGAAATGGATTTGCCCGAATTACTATATTGAGTGATTTAAATGAGTGTTCTTGCATAACAAATGTTTATCATATATCTCTATTCTTATTCATTTTTGAGTTCATCAGTGAATAAACTATATATTTAATAATGTTTTAGCTCATTTAATATATATTAATTTTGGCTCTTTTTTTCGATCTAAATCTAATTTACATGGAGTAACGGCTCAATTAAGAGATTAAATATAAAATGTATCCAAATGTTAGAACTTTAATCTCTTGTACTATTATGTAAAACTTAATTTCATTACATAATAACAAAGTATAACATAACTGAAAATTAGAATTTGTGGAAAATACTTATTAAATTTAATGTCTTCTGGCTTTCCTGAAATTATCTAAAAGTAGTTTATCTATATTAGGACTACGAGAATTTTTACATGAAGTAATTATTGATTGAGGAATACCAGAATCAACAAGCATTTTAATGTAAGTGCTTGATTGATTTTCAATAATAAGTGGACATTTAATGGATCTGCATTCATTGAATGCGATAGGTTGAACTGTTTGAACTGAAAGAGGGAAATTTATATATTTAAGGTTGATGCAATTATTGAATGAAAATTCTTCAATCAAATAAACACTAACTATTTTAATTTTCTGAATGTTGTTGCTGTGATTAAACGAATAACTACAAATAGTATCACAATTGACAGTAAGCATATCATTAATAGAATTACTCAAATGATAAATTAGATATTCTCCTGATTCATTCTTTCTGTAAAGTGTATTATCAATTGATTTGTATTTATCTGATTCAAAGTTACTTATATTTGTAAGAGAATCACAAACAGAGATAGAGTTGACTGCAATAAAAGACAAACTATTTATTGAACTGAATGTGATTGATTTAAGTTTTCTACAATTAAGGAATGAATACTCTGATATTATTTGAACCGATGCTGGAATTGTTATTGTTTCTAAGGAATAGCAATTTTCAAATGCTCGAATTCCAATGATCTCTGTATTTTCACAAAAAGAAATTTCCCTCAAATTAATGCATCCAGCAAAACATCTTTCAGGAATATTAAATATATTACTAACACTCTTTAAACTTATACAATTTTCAAATGCATTATCCATTAAAATCAATTTAGATAACCAAAATCTGATATGAGTCAATTTCGAACATCCTTTGAATGCAGAAAATCCAATGGAACTTAAGGGCAAATTTGTTAAATCAAAGGATTCTAAATTTGAACAATTGTTGAAGGCAAGATTCTCTATTACAGATAGACTAGAATCCTTTTCAACATGTATATTATTAAGTGAAGAGCTTTCAAAAGCTCTTTCTTTTATTGTTGTTACTGAGTTAGGAATAGTAATTGTTGTGTAATTGTATCCCCAAAATTCATAAACCAATGTTTGAATTGAATTCATAATCAATGAATTTTTAAAAATAAAAAGATCTGATTCATCCAGATATGATATTGAAACTTTCGTTTCTTTTCCAATTGCATCATTAGAAAATAATGTTTTGTTAGTAAATATCATTCGTAAATTTGAAGAATGCAATGGACAAAACAATTCAGCATTAACTATCATTGTTGAAAATGGGAAATAAATAGTTTCCATATTAAAGCAATCATAAAAAATTTTATCGCCAATATATTCTAAAATTCCTTTAATTGTTACAGAATTTAAATCGTAACAAAGTGCAAAAGCATATTCTTCGATTCTTTTCACGTTTTCTGGGATTATTATATTATTCAGGGTTAACCCATAAAAACATCTTTCTCCTAAAGTTATAACATCATTTGGAATTTCATATTCTCCAGATGAATATTTAAATGAGCAAAATAAAATACTTTTGTTTGAAGAATAAATAGTATCATCCACGAGAATTAAATATTTGTTTTTATGATGAATTGAAATATTTTTAACCGCTGTACCAAAGAAAACATTTCCGTTGACTTTTGCAACATTTTCCGGAATTTCAAATGAAGTTATTAAAAAAGAACCGCTAAAAATGTTATCTAAATAAGTTAATTCTGAACCTTCTGCGAATGTAATACTTTGAAGACTAGTGAATTCACTAAATGCAGAATCTTGAATTATTTTCACAGAAGCTGGAATTGTTATACACTTTACTTTATCAATAAATCCAAAAGCAATTCCATGAATTTCTAAAAGTCCTTCTGGTAAAAGAATCTCTTCAACTGCATCACAAAAATAAAACGCATATGCTGATATGATTTTCAATTTATGACAAAAAGATAAATCAATTTTTGTAAGGTGATCGCAAAAACCAAAACCATTTGGACCAATTAATGTTAAATTAGGTTTTTCTTCAAAAGTAAATGAAATTAACGACTTTAGTCCATAGAAACAACTATATTCTACTATTTCACATTTTGCTGAAATTCTAAGATATGAAGAAGTATCGTTAACACTAGTAAGGTTTTTACCATCGGCTGAATAGCAGCTTGGATCAATATCCTTGTAAATAACTGCCAAAAAGAGCATATTCATCAAGCATCAATGCAAATATTTTTTTTAGAATTTCGCATGTCAAAATTTATCAAAAAAAAATCGGCAAATATATTTTGAAACAGCTTGCTTTCCCATAAGTAATCACCATTTTACAAATTTATTTTAGTAATTTATTTCGATATTTTAGTTGGCATTTAAAATTTTTTTGAAAAATATGAAAAAATAAACAATTTATAATATATGAAACAAATATGCATATAGTGCTAGCTATTTTGAATATTTGAATCAATGAGAAAAAAATGCATAATGTTGGGATTTTTATCAGAATCAAAAATAGAAGATCCCATTTATGTAAATTTCATATCTTTATATTTCTGAATTCAATAATTAAAATTTCGATTTGAGCTTTGAGAAGAGAGTATGTGCTGATGATACTGGAGACGAATTCAAATTGAGAATTAAAACAGTGTTTACTTTATATATTGGGACGACAATCTGTAATAATGTTCATATTCATGTCTGGAAATTTTATTGATAAAGGAGCTCAATAAAAATGCAACGTATCAAAATTACTTTCTGCGTTTAACTCTAAGCATTGATTTATGCAGATTCAAGTTACCCCAATCTTTCGTTTGAGAATTGTTTACCACAATGAAGTTTCCTGTAAATACTTGAGAAGAAAGACCTGTATAATCTCTAGCCCAGATTGATATTGAATGATTTCCTTCGTTAAATGGGATCACTATCTTTTCTGTTATCCAACCATTTGATTGATATGCTTTTGTTTCATTTTTTGAAACACAATTATCAAAGCAATAAAAGATTGAATAATTTGAATTTTTATCAACATCTGTAACATTCATAGCAACATTAAATATTTTAGATCCTGTATTGAAAATGTTTGGAATTGAAATATTAGTAATAACAGGAGGGTGGAGAATTTCTACAGAATAGAGAGAAATTAAAATATTGAATATAATAGTTTCACTTGGTGTGATAGTAATATCTTTCCATGTATATGTAAATCTTCCCGAGACATCTATAAATGGTGTGTAATGATAATTATAATGATACTCCCCAAATCTATATATTTTCTGAGTGGATCCTTCTGTATACCAATATCTATAATTTGAATTATAAGATCCATACCAATAAGTAGAGACATTTTTAACTTGTTTGTCTCTATATAAAAATGTAATATCACCTTTTTTGTTAAGTTCAATCTTGATACCGTTATCGCCTTCAATGTTATAGGTGACTGCACGATCAACATTTAAACAAAATTCAGTGTAAATATCAATTTTGTGATTTTGACGGTCTTCGTTTTTTACTAAATAAGCAGTATAAGGATAAGTTTCATTAGGAAATATTGTTTCGAAATATCAATTCTTGAATGTTGTTTTTCCATTTTCCTTTCCTAAAATGTATTTTTCGTAACCATCAACAACAAAATTTGTAGAAAACTCCTCGGTATACCTAGTAAATTTTTCATTATTGTATTTTATATCGAAATTATTCTTATCATCAGTAAGAAAGAGAAATTTCAGTGCCATTTCATAAACTGTCAAAAAACGCCATTAATTGTGAATCCCGCAAAATGTGCATAAAATCGAAATATTTTGTGGCATTCTGAACAAATCACCACGTAAATAATACCAAACACTATCGTCTGTTTGTTCTTCTAATGGACCAAATGAATTTGAGTACTTTGGTGTGAAATATAACAAAAATGCTAAAATTGCAATATTAATAAGTAATTGTAACTTAAGGGATGATAATGCGAATGTTGGCTGCATTGTTGAAGGTGGATAAAGCTTTGTTTCTGTAAAAGTGAATTGATAAGTTAAACTAACATTTGTTCCTTCTTTGATAATGGGAGGTGTTTGTAATTCTGTGCATACATTATCACTATAAGAAGTTTGGTGTCCAATTTCTTGACTTGGAACAATATCAATGATTTTATAATGAACTACATTTGATTTCACTTCCGTTGCGTATTGTATATCAAATTTGTATTTAGTAAGGAAGTATCTTCCTTCAGAAATATGAAATCCTTGTTTCATTTTGAAATTTTTCAACTGAAAATAAAGAAGATAATCGTTTTCGGATAGGTAATTGAGTATTTCAGCTTGTTCTTCTGATAAAGTATGGAAGCATCTGCAAGAAAATTCTTGATCTTCTAAAAAATTAATGTTTTCTATGGTTTTAGTTCTGAAATCACCGAGAATATTTTGTCCAAATGACGACCTAATACTATTCGATGTATTACTTTGGCATATTGCGTTGCCAAAATTCAAATTATATTGGAAAGGAAATTTTTTCGATCGAATACCACTAAATTTTACATTAATATTGTCTGATGGCTGCAAAATTAACTGGTTCTGGTTATAATGGAAAAGAGCAATTGATCTTTTTGCAAAAAGAAAAAGCATCAATTATCTCTTTGAAAAAAAATGTTGTTAACTATTTGATATCGAAACCAGTAATTTTCAGCAGATTAAGAGAAGCTGAATAATTCCAATAAATCTCATAAAAGAGAATTTAAAATTTGAGCAAATAATCAAGCTCAAAGCTTTTTAAAAGAATCATGTGCTGAAGTTGGTGTAGACAAGGCCGATTAGAAGCAATAATTCTTCAAATATTAGAATTTAACAAAGATATTTATAGAATATAACAATATGTAATACTTTTGTGAGATTAAAATATTCATGAATCTTATTTTTGTGATGAATGAAATATTGGTCAATATATAGTTTCTTTTACTTGCAAAAATTGAAAGTAAAAAGTATTAATAATTTAAGAGAAAATCATCAGCAATTTGGATATCGATATTACTATTATTAAATATGAATTGGTCATCTTGTGGATCTAAGAATCAGGGAATCCATAGCTGTATCATTAGAAATAGGTTGAGAATTTACTCTATTGGGAGGAGTTGTAAGATCTGAAAGTAATTGAGTATCTTGATCATAGCGTTGTGTCTCTGTTCTAGTGTTTACAGGTTGATCTTCAACTCTCACTCCATTATCTTCAAGAAGTTGTATTTCTGAAGATTGAGGATTCCATGAGCACCGTAAGATGTTCCTTTCTACTTCATGATACTCCATTCCGATTGGCTCTGCTGTTTGTTTCAAATGCCCTCTGAAAGAATCGAATTTTGTAGTAAGAATCGACATTCCATTCTTTCCAATGCAGTATATAGTTCCTGAAACTTGACCATTTCGAACGTCATTGACCATGACAATGCGAGTGTGTAACTTAGATGTTTTACCCATCTTAAAAATGAAGAAAATATTTTTTTTAAATATCCATACGCCCTAAATTTTATGAGAAAAAATTGAATACTCTTTCAAAAAATTTCCAAGAAATCGAATTACACTATCCAAAACTAGACTCTTTTTTCTGTTTTAAATATGTTATTCGTATACTCTTTTATTTGCATACTTTTTTGAAAATTTGACATGGCAGACAAATTAATCCCACCAGACTGATTTTAGAACAATTTAGGAAGTATTGAAATTAAAATGAATATTTATCATATATTAAGTGCATATACCAAGTATAAAAAGCCAACTTTTACCTTTTGAAATTTTTTTGAAAGTGCATTCAATTTTTTTCGGGTCGTTATCGATTTTGTAATTTAATCGTTATCGTCTTTTTCTAAACGTGCATTTTGAAACTAAATCGCATATAACTTTAAAATGACTTAATATTTAAAGGTTTATGTGGTAAATATCAACGAAATGTAATATTAATATGTGCACCATATATGAATTACAGACATTTGAGCAATTCGAAATTTCATCGCGTTATATATTCATTTAAATTCGATCAAATCAACATTGCAATTATAAAACCATTACACATCCAGTCAATATTTTTCAATTTCATGCGAATTATATCATTATTACACATTTTAAAATGGCGAAATATAGTCCAAAAAATAAACTTCGTTTTAAACTCAATTCTCACACATATTCGGATTAAATCATATGTGACTCATATGATCATACATCTCATTTGAGGTCTAAAAAATGATTTACCGAGAAAACTTGCATTCGAACTAAAATTTACTAAATTTAATCAAATTGGTTTACAAACGTAAAGTTTATGTCAAACATTTACGTTTGTAAACTAATTGAGTAAATTTATAGCACTTTTTTTCTCGATGCAATAATTTGAACTACGAGTTTACCAAATTAGTTTACAAACGTAAAGTTTATGCCAAATATTTACGTTTGTAAACTAATTGAGTAAATTTATAGCACTTTTTTCTCGATGCAATAATTTGAACGACAAGTTAATGTAATTAGTGTTCTCAGGTTTACAATTCAATATGTCTATGCATATGATATATGCAAATTCTATAAATAAAATATTATTAAATAAAATTCTTTTCAATTCCTTAAAAATAGCGTTTCTTTTGAATAAAAAATGATTTTTAACTAATTTTAGGACTCTTTCTATTTCAAAAAAATACCTGAATTTAATTTTCTGATGCAAAATTTATGCTTTTTATCATGAAATTCTTTTTTTCAAAATTTTTTTGGATTTTTTTCCATTTTGAATATAGTTAATTTTACTTTATTTCACATTCTATTAAGAAATACTTAGGCCAATCTATGGCATTCCAAACGGGAACCGCGGTTGGTTACCATGGATTTCCGTCACCGGTCACATTTTAAAGATTTTTAAAGCCTTATAAAAATATGCTTTGTAAATCATTTTTTGTAAATCGGCAAAAATTTGGTAATTTTCTTCAACTAATAAATCTGCGAATAGCATTTATAATACAAGAACAATCTTTTAAAATGCGTTTGATTCATTTTTGTATAATTTCATATAGGCACATATATTCTTCCGGGACTTTCCGTGATTTTACCGTAAAATCATTAGTTTACACCAATTTTTCCGTATTTTGAATAGTTTACTGCACTTTTTCCGTAAAATTGAGTTACGGGAATCCGCAAAATTTCCGGACCTCATTTTTCATAGAATATAATAATAATATTTGATAAAAAGATATATTATTTATATTTTTGATTTTTGAATTACGGAAAAAGTGAATTGATAACTTGATTTTTTTATATGGTTAATTTTTCAAATGATATTATGAAGATCTAAAATATTAAAAGTAAAAAATTGAATTACGGAAAAAGTGAGGTCAAAAGTGAAATAAATTTGCAGAACAATTTTCATTGAAATAAGCTTTATTTTTCATTATTAATAACAATGCAAAAAAATATTTATCACAGGTTCAAAATTTAAAATTAAATATTTTAATAATTTACATCTTATTCTTTATTTTATATTTAACCCGTGAAAATATCATTTAAAAATTGAATATATTCAAAAAGCTTTATTTTTATTATGACTGCATGGGATCCTCATGTATATGATGAGTGGATTCCATTTAAGAAGACGAAATATCCACCAACTCCTGAAAAATTGGAAACAAAGTGTGGAAAAAATGTTTCACTACGATCGGCTATTATGAGAATGAGCCTAATCAATCAGACAAAGGAAGGCTCTTTACATACTGTGCCGAATGTAGTGAAACATTAGTTCAAGGGCAGTTCGTGCGATGCATTAAAAAAAGCAGGAAAAATGATTTTAAAGATCATAAGTGCAAATTTTTACTCCCAATGCCCAACTACGTTCCTGCGGAGCACCAAGTTGAGAATACTCAGCAAGCAGTTGGCTCTGGTAATGATCCTTCGTTAGAAGAGATCATTGCCAGGCTTATTGCGAGCCTAGATATAAGCCTTTATGCCACAATGAAGCCAGCATTTAAAAGCTTCCTAGAGAGCTTCGCCAAATGGCTTAAAAATAAAGTCAATCGCGAACAGGGCATCAACTTTACAATCCCAGACATTGAGTTCACACGGCGCGGTGTCAGAGAGGCATTGATTACTTTAGGCAAAACAGACTCCTCTCGGGGCCTAAAGTTCTGCGAGGAATTCCGCATCTTCTCAATTTCCCTGGACTGCGGAACACACAGCAGCTCATAGTCTATTCTCTTGTGTGTGCAATCCAGGCAAAACAGATCGCCACCAATTCTTCGACACAACAATTTCGACTAATTGGACATACGAGGACTACCATACATGGTTTGATTCTCTTAACGTTAATAAAAACCACGTAGCTGGAGTAGTCGGAGATGGTTTGCCAGCCCAGGTTAAAGGACTCTGCCACTGGAGGCCAGAAGGAGCCCTTTTCCCTGGCTTACAAACCGTGTACATTCGTTGCCTTAACCACGTCTTGAACAAAGTTAGTATGACTATCTTCAGTACTGTGGCACTGCGCGCCATCTTACTGAAGATATGTCAATCTGACACTTTACAAAACCGTTAACGTATATTTTACAACACAACCATAACACCAACTTAACCTTAAATATTTACAAAGCCACCAACCACTAACGACTTCACTAACGAATTCACTACCGTCCTCACTAAATAAAAATAACCTTATTTTTATTTTTTTAAATTTTTTATTTCATTACAAAGACATGTCTGACTACATTTACTATGACTCTTTCCCAGAACGTTTCCGTGAGCTGTTTAAAACTCAAGTAAAACTGAGGAACATGCATTTTAACAAAGACAGACCCATTGACGATGAAAGAAACCCTGAATATATTACAATCCCATATGACGCAAGGTTCATTGCATACATTCCTTATGGTCGCAGAGGAACGAAAACTATTTCAACAAAGAACAAAAATTATTTCTGGAGCGATGAAGAAAATTGCCTTATCTACATAAATGCATACTTAAATAAAGCTACATATTGTACAAAAGAAGGTTGGACTGGATTTGAGCTCTACATATACGACGACGATGGAAACAGACGTTGTGTATACCCATACGATAATATGTACCATTGTTTTCATCAAGCATTAAACGAATACATAGTCAGTAAGGGTCTCATTCCTGTTGAGTAGATATGCTTTATTTTTGTTCTGTCATTTATATAAAAATAAATGATATCACCACCCTCACACGTATGAAAACATAGCACAAAAATAAATTTAGGTGAAGTGGTGAGATTTCACCTCTTTTTTCACCTCTTTTTTCACCCTGTTGAATTCATTGCTTTATAACTCTCTTCCTTGGTTTCTTTTTAGTTGCTTTCTTCACGTCTGTCTCCAACTTGACTGTCTTTCTTCTTCGGCCGTAATGATACCAGTTACTTCCACCAGTCAATGGGTCAAATGGTCTTTCGTAAGGGTTTCCATACATTCCATAGGGACCATACGGAAGAACTACTGGTGGAGAAGAAACATTTTCTTTAGTTCCATCGAATCTATTTAAATGCATTGTTTCACCTTTCATCTGGTCATTAAAGTCTTTTGCGTGTTTTGCAAACTCATCGTCCTTTCCTAAAGCATTTTCTGACTCAGTCGCAACCAAATTGGATGCTTTATTTATGAGCCCTATTTTATTTAATCTTAACTTCTTTGCAACCCAGCCTCCAATCTTCCCTTTATTTGCATCTAATGTCTTCGAAACCCTTCCTCCACTCATTTTATTTACTGCGTCATAAGCTCCAAGTGCTTTTGCTCCAAATGCTAATGCTTTTGTTCCCATTGCGCCTAAAGCTGCCCAAGCTACCATTTACACCATATTAAAATCATCTCTCTTCAATATTATCTCATAAAAGTTCTCGTTACTGGAGAAAGTCAATGAAACATAAACATTCTCACGGGCTTCGCCCTCACCGCTTTGCGGTCTATCTAACTTCTTTCTTATCTCATCTATTCTCAATAAAATGTCTGAACAATTGCTAACATCTTCTACAACAGTTATTTCATCATGAATGACCTTCAAGAACAAGCTCATTTAATATGCAATTAAAATCATCTCAATAATGAGTCCATCCTTTCCATCTTTAGGTAGCACAACATCTTTCATTGAAGAAGGTTCGACAAGTCTTATGTTAAACTTACTGACAAAGTTTGTTATACTATAATGCTTCGGCGGCGAATACATGTAGTTTGAAAGACATAATATAGATTCTTCAGCAAATTCACTTATACTGGATTTTATAACAATGTTCTCACGAGACCAAATACCACCAATTGAAAAACTTGTAAGCAATCCTGCTGAACCTTCTACTGTAAACGTCGATGGTAACATTCCACGAAGGTCATCTATTGACATTGTTGAGTCACTGTATTTAAATATTTTCTTAAAGCAATCGTCATTATCTAACCATGCAATAGCTTTGAAGTTTTCATTCGAATATACATCTGCTTCATTAAATGTAAATCCTGACTTCTTTGCAGAGATGACTTTAAAATCTATTGAGTTTGTTTCAAAATTATATGCTATGGTAACTTCTGAAGGTAATGGATGTCCTTCCGCAGTCAGTTGTTCTCTCACTACCGTTTGAAGCTTTGTATTAAAAACTTTCATGTCATCTCCTGTATCTAAGTTCACATACACAGCAACAGGGAAACTATCTTGCTTCTTTGTTTCATCATTATATCTCAAAACATTAAAGTTCTTCAATAATATTGTTCTTCCTGCTGGAATACTTCGAACCTGTCTGATTTCAATAGCTTTCTCACCTCCTACATACTCTACCCAGTGTCTTGGATATTCATAAGTATACTGACTTTCTTGAATTTTGGTTGGTTTCATCATAACATGTTCATAGTATATCTTTATACTCTTGTCAGTTAGACTCGGTGCTATGTTCTGAATATTTCTGACTTGCATTTTTAATGGAGATAAAATGAAGCATTTAATACATGATGTAGATGAAGACATGAATGAAACTACAGACAAACTTAACTCTTCTCTCATTCTTCCTTTCAGTAAGGACTATGAGTTCTGTTCAAATGGTGTTTATTTCTATTGTGGAAAGATGGGGTCAGGAAAGACATTCAACCTCATTCGTCATATACTCATAACAGAACGTTTAGGAAACGACTCTTACTATGACCAAATCATTATATCAGCAACTTCAGACTCTATGGACTCAACAGCGAAAACATTTATGTCAAAAGTTCAAGCCTCTGTCGTTAAAGTTCCAGACAGTGAACTCATTGAATTTCTTCAACGTTACATTCGACGTAAGAGGAAATATTATGCCATCGTTGAATTTATACAGTCAGGAATGCAAAAGACTTCTGAGGAGATGGAAAGAATTATTGACAAACACCACTTACGTCAATACTCAGGAGTTTACGATATGAAACGACTTACAAACTACATTCTGTCAAAACTTTCAAAATACCCCTTCAAAAAATATCCATCAAACACTTTATTAGTTTGTGATGATTTCGCTGGTAAAGGTTTAGTGTCAAAGCCTGACTCACCATTAGCTAACATCATAACTAAAGTCAGACATTACCACTTAACTGTAGCAATACTTATGCAAACATGGCGTTTTCTTGCTTTAAACATAAAACGTCTCATAACTGACTTCGTTATCTTTCAAGGTTTCTCACGTTATGATATTGAACTCATTTGGAAACAGTCAGGTATAACATTACCTTTTGAAGAAATTTGGGAAGCATATAAGTCTCTCATCTCTCCTCGTTCATACCTTGAGATTCATATCATGACTAATACCATTAAAGTCAAAAATATTCCATGGGAACGACCAACATTGTTTTAAATCTTATGCTTTAATTGACTGATGGTAAACAAATTCCATGCATCTCTGTCGCCATTTCTGTTAATATTTTTGCTGTCATTCATATCATCCACTTCCCCATCCGTTAGCTTTTGAGGATATGCGTTAGAATAGCTGTTCTTAAATGAAGGCTTTTCACCTTTGAGAGCATAAACTCTATAACTTTCTGCATACTTTATGTTTGAACCTCCTGAGCCATCATTGACATAAATTTTTATAGGCTTCCACCCTTTGTTCATATTCCTGCTTCTTCCCTTTGCTCTTTTGTTCAGTAGTTCTACATCTTTATACACAGCTCCTGTCTCAGTGAATTCAACAATATTTTCATTCGTTAGCTTTACATTCAAACCCTTGTCGAGTATATTGTTCATTTCATACATATAAAAGGTTTTTATTCTATATGAAATGAGAAGCAAATCCATCTTAGCTGGTGCCGTTAATGTTCCAATTGAACCAACATCAAATGTTGACTCACGAACGACAAACAATATTGTCATAAAGAACTATAGTTCGGAGTGTTTGAAAGAAAAAGAACCAGAGCTGAAATCCGTGAATTTAAACACAGCTTCAAACGCTAACGCTACATCAGATGTTAAGTTAGAGTATCCACCACTGGACCAAATTCTTTCAAGAGAAGCCAACGACAACCCTTACATAAATGTTCAAACAAATCCTTCAGATAACGTAGACCATTACCTTCTTCAGTTATACCAAACAATTTTACTCAAAGACGATAAGAAGCTTTTGATAAATCTTATAAGTAAGAACCAAATAATTCTAACAAAGGAGGACCTTGAAAATGTTATATCACGAATAACAGGAAAGCAATGTGTCATTGACTATCTCGACCCTGAAATCGAATGCTGTGGTCAAACGCCAATATTCATGAAAATAGGTAACATCCGCATCATTGAAACACCAGGAACTACAGGAGTTGAGTTTAAGTATAAATATTCGAACGAGTATACAAAACTATCTACTTACTATAAGCTTTGTTTGAAATATGTTTTAGTAAATTAAAGCAACTTATAGTATCTATCCAAAACTTCTTCAACAGTATCGAACTCATCTTCATAATGCAAACCTAATCTTATTGACTTGGTGCAGTTTTCACTAACACAATATTTTTCTGTTCTCTTGACTGACATAACTAACTCATTTGTTTCATCAAACAGCAACAACCAAAGTTCATGACCTAATACATAACATTCATACTTTATATTTTTAGCTCTGAGTTCTCTTGTAAGCTGTTGCATTTAATATTTTCTAAAAAGTCAACTTCAACAGTCATTCGCACTGGTGCCTTCAGTTCTACAGGCTCTCCTTGAAAGTCAACAAGTCTGAATTGCATGTCTTTCAAATTATGAGGACTAATGCGAACCCATTTACCTAAATGAGTTGCTATGACAGGAACGTTTGGAATGAACATTGAATTGACTGCATAACAGAAGGATTTCTATTCTACTGAACCTTTACTATTAACTCCTGAAATACCTGTGACATTAGCTATTTTTGACTCAATGTACAAACAATTACCATAACATATGTATGGAACAGATTTCATCTCAATCGTTTTGTCAACACTTTTCAAAGGAAATGTCATATGGTATGCTCCCAAAAGAAGTTGTACTCTATGACTCATTCTTGGTATCTTAAACTCCTTCGCATAACTGAACTTCAAAACTCCTGCAATAAGTTTAACATTCATTAAGTTTTCTTCGTTATCCTTGTTTATTGTAGTATTTATGAGAGCATTTAACACTCCAGCTAATGTTTCCATCTTATATTCTACATTATTGTGAAATCTTATTTCGTGCTTCTTTCCATCTATTTCAAGCTCCATGAAATCTGTTTCGTCAGTTATAACGAATGAAGCAATAGTATTAAAGTCAACCATTCTGAATGCAAGTGGCTCATTCTGAAGACCTAAGTTTGTTTGTAGCTTTACTGTCCCGTATTCGTTTGGGTCTGTACTTTGCAAATAGAACAACATTTTATTCTCATTAAAATATGACTATTGCTGCATATGCGTATGAAGCTGACAGAGCTAAACGTTTATATTTTGGTCAATACTCTCTCACACTTACTGACAAATATATTGTTATTTCTGATGGAAATACCGAGAAATACATAACATGGAAGGACTATGAAAAGTTTGACCCTATTTTAACTCCATGTACTATGCCATTCATTGTAAATGGTGAAGTTGTCATGAAGAACGACACAACAGTATATAAGTCTGTATATGAAGCGTTAGAATATATGTTGAATTATAATCCCGAAAGATTTGACCCAAGCACTACACCATGTGCAATGCCTTTTATTAAGGACGGTGAAATCGTAAGAGTTCCGGATTCAACGGTTTACACAGCTGTTCAAAACAGTTTACAAAACATTTTAGCGAATATCTTTAATTCAGAAACTACAGAAATAAAATTACCGTATATAACAGATGCTAAAGAAATTAAATCAAAAACAACAACATTATTTACGTCACTTAATGATTTAATGACTTATATCATTAATATTCCTGCACCAACTACAGCATTTGATCCAAACTCGACGATTTGCAGTGTACCTTTCATAAATGACAGTTCATTAATTACTTTAAGGGATTCGACAGTAAATGAATCATTAAAGGCGTCATTAATGAAAATCATTGATTTTAATTCATTCACGAATACATATAATTCATTCATTAATGTTTCATATGCTTCTAAAGAAGGTGAGCCAAAAACTATCAATAAAGCGGTGTATGAAATAAAAGCATCAACGACGAAATTGAATTCGTTAACTTTTGACGGTGATAGTTTCGTTAATGACATAACATCGGGGAAAACAATTTTAACGAAAGAATACTTAAAATCTCATGTTAGTGAGTTCGTTGAAATTGAAAAAGAAGGTGGAATTAAGTTCGATCCACTGAATTTCATTTTCAGCTTAGCGAATGCGGGTGTTAGTTTCGCTGAATGGACAACTATACAGAGTGAAATAAATAGTTTCCATATTAAAGCAATCATAAAAAATTTTATCGCCAATATATTCTAAAATTCCTTTAATTGTTACAGAATTTAAATCGTAACAAAGTGCAAAAGCATATTCTTCGATTCTTTTCACGTTTTCTGGGATTATTATATTATTCAGGGTTAACCCATAAAAACATCTTTCTCCTAAAGTTATAACATCATTTGGAATTTCATATTCTCCAGATGAATATTTAAATGAGCAAAATAAAATACTTTTGTTTGAAGAATAAATAGTATCATCCACGAGAATTAAATATTTGTTTTTATGATGAATTGAAATATTTTTAACCGCTGTACCAAAGAAAACATTTCCGTTGACTTTTGTAACATTTTCCGGAATTTCAAATGAAGTTATTAAAAAAGAACCGCTAAAAATGTTATCTAAATAAGTTAATTCTGAACCTTCTGCGAATGTAATACTTTGAAGACTAGTGAATTCACTAAATGCAGAATCTTGAATTATTTTCACAGAAGCTGGAATTGTTATACACTTTACTTTATCAATAAATCCAAAAGCAATTCCATGAATTTCTAAAAGTCCTTCTGGTAAAAGAATCTCTTCAACTGCATCACAAAAATAAAACGCATATGCTGATATGATTTTCAATTTATGACAAAAAGATAAATCAATTTTTGTAAGGTGATCGCAAAAACCAAAACCATTTGGACCAATTAATGTTAAATTAGGTTTTTCTTCAAAAGTAAATGAAATTAACGACTTTAGTCCATAGAAACAACTATATTCTACTATTTCACATTTTGCTGAAATTCTAAGATATGAAGAAGTATCGTTAACACTAGTAAGGTTTTTACCATCGGCTGAATAGCAGCTTGGATCAATATCCTTGTAAATAACTGCCAAAAAGAGCATATTCATCAAGCATCAATGCAAATATTTTTTTAGAATTTCGCATGTCAAAATTTATCAAAAAAAAATCGGCAAATATATTTTGAAACAGCTTGCTTTCCCATAAGTAATCACCATTTTACAAATTTATTTTAGTAATTTATTTCGATATTTTAGTTGGCATTTAAAATTTTTTTGAAAAATATGAAAAAATAAACAATTTATAATATATGAAACAAATATGCATATAGTGCTA